GAAGACCGAGACGGCGCCGCTCCGAGCGGGCAAGAAGAAGGGGCCGCAGCCCTCGTGCGCCAGCCGCAGCGCAAAGCGTTTCAAAAACAAGCTGCTGGCCGCATCTGATGCAGTGGGCAACTTCATAGTGGGCAACCTGATCATGGCCGTCTCGAAGGGCTGGGCCGACGTGGTCGCTATCTACCTCCTCGGCATGGGGCCCAAGTGGTATTGCGAGTACACTGGCTCTGAGTGCGCGCCCATGGTGCGTCTCGTGGCACCACCTGCACCCACACCAAACAAACGCCGTCCGTGCGGCGTTACTACACTTGATTCGGAAGTGCGACGCACCTACCGCGGCCATGGTCTTGCATTAGTGGCGCCGGATGATGCCCCGAGACCCGTCTGACGACACCCGCGGCCCCGCCCGCCCGCATGTTCTCACCCCCAACCCTCCCGTTTACCCTCTCCCTCCCTTCAGCGTGACCCGCGATCCTCTGCTCTCGTACTCTCTCTGCCGCGCCCCCCCCGCGGCCGCTCCTCATGCACCGTGGTCCTTCACAGGCACCCAGCTGGAAGTGGGCGCTCTACACGCTTGCGATGGTGCCCGTCATGGGGTGCGTGAGCACCACGGCGTTCAGCGACCCCACAGCTACGTAACCTTCGAATCACCCTGCCTCAGGCTGGTGAAGCACCTCGCGGAGGATCACATCGAGAAGCGCGAGGAGCGGGGGCTAAAGCCGATGCGCGGCACCAATCTCGTTCCCTCCATCTCAAACATGATCATCGGCTGGAGCGCCGCCAACGCAGCGGGGCAGCTCATGACGGAGATGCAGGCGGGCGGACATGCGGTGCTGCAGAGCGCGTGCTGCGGCCAGGCGCGGGGCTTTACGCGTCGAGCTGCGAGTAGGAAGCCCGAGGCTGCCAGAATGACGAGTATGCGCCCTGCCTCGGCTTCAACGTGGTGTATTTGCTGGCGTGGGTGGCTGCCGCGGCGCTTTTCATCGCCGCCGTCAAGCCGTACGTGGAGGAGATTGAGTGGGGCGACACGGCGCGGATGCTGTCATGGGATTGCCCGAGATTAACATGAGATCGACATGGGAATGCATAAGGCGACCGCGCGAGGTGTGACCGAGAGTCCCGCGATGCAGGCGCTGATTGATTGGCTCGAGGACTACAGCGAGGACATGCTAGCGATGTTGGTGCGCGCCTTCACAGTCACCGTGATGTGCCTGGCCATGCGGGTGTTGTCAGAGTACATCTACGACGACGTGGGCGAACACGCGATATTTCGCTTCAACATCCTCTTTGCCGGCTTCATGACACTGGTGGGCTCTGTGATCAGCGTCTCGCTCGAGAAGATGGAGCTCAATCTGATGCCAGCGCAGGGCCCGCCGCACGTCTTAACACCCCTTTGTATGCCCGTCCTGCGTCGACGCCTCGGCGACACACTGTCCCTAGGCAAGCCGCGCGGGATCGCCTCCACGGCGATCGAGCTCTCCAACCTGACCCAGAGCATACTCTCATGGATTGCGGGCAGCGCGTCTGGCAACTGCCGCAGCCTTATCTTCCCCGTCTTCGCAGCTACGCAGCTCTCGCCCGGCGTCTTCGCGACCTGCCTTGGCCTGACGGTGCTCTTCTGCATCATCGCCGCTGTCGGTCTCGCCCTCACCGCCCACAAGGGCGAGGCGCGTGACGACGACCGTGCGACAGTCGAGCGCTACTACATCACAAACCTGATCGGATTCTTTGTCGGCTGGTGCGCTCCAGTCCAGCCTGCAGCCCACTGTGCCGCCAGCCCCGTGCCTTCAGCCCCCTCAGTGTCTCTGCCAGCGTCTCCCGTACTTTCCGCCCCCAATCTCATCCGCCCACGCACCTCGGAGGCCGTGGGCCCCGGCGTCGCCGTAACCTGGGCGCGCACGCGTGCCGCGCGCGCGCCTTGCGAGTAGGTGCTTTGTCATCATCACGCAGATGGGTGTGGCGATGCTTGAGAAGGCGATCGAGCCGCAGCTCCAGAGCACGCGCGATGGCATGGGCGACGCGGGCGTGTTTGGCTTCAAGTTCTCGTCGCTAATCAGCTTCGATTGGCTGCTCGCCCTCGTCCTGATGCCGCTGCTGACCTACATCTTCTTCCAGCTCTGCTTCGTCCTCACCGACTTTTACGGCAAGCTGGCCGGCATGGCGGACGACGAGATTGACGACATTATGGACGCGCCGACGGATGACCTCTTTGGCGACCCAAAGATGGTGGCCGCGAGGAGAATCGCCGCTCGCGCGTTGCAACGCTCGGTGCGGAAGAAGCGCAGCAGCTCAAAGTCGAGCGGCGGCTCTGATATCGAGGAGGCGCCCTCCGATGCCTTCGCCGACGCCTTCAAACAGATCTTCAAGGCGTGACGGCGACGGCGAGGACCGCGCACCTTCCGCTGGCAGGACGGCCTGGCCTGTGGTTACGAGAGTAGGCTCGAGCCCATTCTGCTTCGGCCCTCCGAGATTCCCACACTGCATAGAGCTCTACGCGACGCCAAGGATGCTATTACGGAGAGGTGGAGACCCCGCGGCGGGGTGGGGTAGATTTAAGGGCGCACTGACGCCAACGTGACATGAGCGTTTAAGATAGGGACCCCTATTTCCCTCTGTTTCTTGATAACAAGATTGTCTCCGATAAGACTCTGAGAGAGCGAAAAGTTCAAAATTCTCTTTTGCGGCATGTGGAAAATGGCGGACTGGCATGGACCATGGTGTACCTGTGCACTGCGGGCGGTAGGTAGGTAGGCGTGTTTTTCTACCGGACGCGGGGGAGGCTGCCTCGGGTCAGCCTCGCCCGATACCTCCGCCGCTGCGCCGCCGGTGCCGACGGTGACGCAGTTAGGCTCCGGGCTCGCAGCAGCTTTGGGGAGGGTCAGGCATTGGTGCGGCCACGAGCGAGTAGCGCGCGCGGGAGAAGCGCGGCTAAACAGGCCGTGCCAACCCACGAGCGGGTTCGGCAGGGGCTGGCCAGGCAGCAGACGGAAAAATTCCGACCCCGCGTAGGGCTGGAATCCAGCGCGTTCTCTTACACGAGGGATGCACATGGCCTCGCTCTACGCGCTCCTGCTGCTTCTTTGCTCGCCTGCCGCCGCCTTCCGGCTGCACTCGTTCGGCCGCGCGACATCGACGCCTTGGCAGCGTCGCTCTGCCACACCGGCGCTTCGAAATGAAGCGGAGCCTCTGTCGTGGAAGGAGCAGATTGAGCGGCTGCTGTCGCCAGAGACACCGGCGGAGGACCGCGGCATCCTCGCCCGCGACCTGCTCGCACGCGGCGCCGAGATCGCCACCGAAGTCTCTAGCGGCCGAGTCGACTCGCTGCTCACCGAGTCGGCGGCGCGCGACCTGGACAGCGTGCGGAGGCAGGGGTCTGATCTGCTGCAGCAGGTGCCCTCGCTGCTCGAGGGGGACGGCCCTGAGGCGCTGCAGCGCGCCGCCACCGACGCCGCGGGCGCTGCGCTCGAGCACGGCCCCGGCGCAGTCGCGTCCCTCCTCGCCGAGCCTGGCCGTGCGGCGGCGCTTGCGGAGGAGGCTGCGGAGAAGCCGGCGTACCGGGTGGTGAGGGAGGAGGAGGGGTTCGCGGTGCGTGAGTACGCCTCGCACGGCGTCGTCGCCGTCGACATGGGCCTCTCCCCCGGCGCCCACCGAGACGTAGCCGAGATGCGGCGAGGCGCGAGCGAGGCGTGACGGCCTGTGGAGAGGCGCTGTTCCCTCTCCGTCTCTCTCTTCACACCTCTCTCTTCACACCTCACCCTCTCTTCACACCTCTCTCTTCACACCTCACCCTCTCCTCACACCCCAGGCGCCGACCTCGCCGCGCAAGTCCGCGAGGGCGGCTCCGCCTTCTCGGCCCTCACCGCCTACCTGCTCGGCGCGAATGGGCGCGCCGAGCTGCTCGGCGGGAGCGCGCCAGCACGCATCGACGTCGCTGCGGGCCCAGACGGGTCCGGCTCGGACGCGTCCGACTCAGACCGGGCGGGCTCCAAGCTCAGCTTCGCCCTTCCGCTCAAGTATTCCGCCGCCACCGCGCCGCCGCCGACCGCGACCTCGCTCCGGCTAGAGCAGGCGCCGCTGCAGCTGCTCGCGGTGGCGGACTTCCCGGGCGTGGCGACGGCGCAGGAGGTGGAGCGGCAGCGGCAGGCGCTGCTCGGCCGCCTCTCTTCCGCCGGCGTGAGCCTGGCGGACGAGGCCCGGCGCGGTGCTTTCTCGGTCCGCGGAAGACGAGATCACCGACGCCCGCGACGAGTCCGCAACGTTTCCGCGACGGCTGCCGTAGGTGCTGCAGTACGACGCGCCGCTCACCCCTCCGTGGCTGCGGCGCAACGCGCTGGCCGTGCTCGTCGAGGCGCTGCCAGAGGCGGAGGGCGGCGCGGAGGTGGAGGGCGGCACAACGCCAGAGGCGGGCGGGGCGGAGGCGCTGGGAGAGACTGACGATACGGCGGAGGCGGAGGCGGAGGAGGGAGCGGGGCAGGCAGCGGGGCAGGCGGAGTGGGAGGCAGCGAGGCGGGCGGAGTGGGAGGCCGCAAGGCAGGAGGCGGGGCAGGCCGCAAGGCAGGAGGCGGCGGAGAGCGCGGGCGACGACGCAGCAGTTCCGTCGAGCGCCGACACGACCGCGGCGCAGCTCCGCGACCTCGGCGATGACGAAGCGCCTTCCGACGTCGACTAGGGCGTCCGTGGCCGACGCCGACCGCCCGATTTGGCCAGCACCGCGCCCTCAGCGGGCGAGGCTCGTCCCGGATCCATGAACGGGGCTCCGGCTCTAGTCAGTACGTAGTCGAGGCTCGAGCATCGAGCACATATGACGAAAGGCGCCGACCCGTGTGAGTCCCATGGTCGGGGTGGGAGCGGTGTAAATTGGATGTGCATGTTGCAAATAAGAGACCCTATAAAATGAACACGCGCTTCGCCGGGGCCCTCGCGCCACAGTGACCCACAGGAGCAGGCCGGTGGCGGCGCGTCAGGCCCCCCACGCGTGTTCCATGCACTGTAACGTATACTCAAAAGTAGTCCTCCGGTGCATCCTCGTAGCGCACTGCCACTGGAGACGCTGCTTGGGGTGATGACGTCGGGCCGTTCGCAGCTGCCGGCTCATCACCCCTCCCGGCGCTTGCGCCATCATCGTCGCGCGGCTGTCCACTGCCCTTCCCTTCTGCAGCAGGCCGTCCGCGAGCAGGCCTGTCGCTCGCCAAGACTCTCGCGGCCCGCAGCCTCTCTTGCATCCCGCGTACCTCCGTCTGCGCCCGCAGGCGCTCACGCGCCACGTTTTGGTCCCGCGACTTTGCGAGCGAGACCACAAAGGCGCGGACGGTGGACAGCATGGCGACGTGGTCCGACGCTGTCTGCGACGGGTGTGCGTGCCCGAGGTACTCAGCAGCGCGGCGCAACTGCTCCTGCGTGTCCGAAAAGTGCTCCTCGACTGTATTGCACTCGCTCTGCACCTCGGCCACAAAGGCGTCGAGCAGGAAACGAGCGTAGAGACCGTCGATATGGCCTTTGGTGACACCTGTGCCAGGCGCATGCGGCTGCTCTACCGACTGCCGCTCCACCTCCCGCCAAGCGCGGGGCAGATTCCCGACGCTCGCTCGCAGCACCCGCCACGCACGTATGTTGAGCGAATAGGCGGCCGTGGACCCGGCCAGCTTGCTATCGAGCGGCTGCAGGAGGGGCGTGCGGAGCAGTCCGAGAAGATCGAGTCTCCTCAGCAGCGCTACTACGTCGCCAGCGTTCGCCGCCGATCGCCGCACGACGGACGCGTCGCCCAGCCGGACTGTCCCAGGTGTGGAGCGTCTCACGCAGCTGAGCGCGCCAGGGCACGACTCCACGGCGTCGGGAGGCGGCTGCTCGTCGCTGATCATCTCGGTGACGTGCGGCGAGGTGGGGCAGCTGAGTTGCGAGGAGCGGGTCGAGTTTGTGCTGCGCACGCTCGCAGGGCTCGCCTGCGCGCACGCTTCCTCGACAGCAGCAGGCGCGGCAGGAGACCGAGCGGGCGAGCTCGCGAGATCGGTCGCGGCGCGTCTGCCCGATATGCGCGCCTCTGCCACCACCCGCCACGGCTCGCTCAGCTCCGGCCCCGCGCCGGGGAGCCTCGGTGGGGCGCTCGCAGCCGGGCCACTTTCAGCCGTCTCCCACCCAAAGGAGTCCTCGACAACCGCGTACACGGTGAAGGACGTCGCGATAGGCCGCCGAATGGCAATGAGCACGTGGTGCTCCTGCCCAGCCGCCTCTGACACCAGGCAGCCAGCTGCCAGGGCTGGCTGTCCGTCGGCTCCCACCCCACGCTTCACCTGCTCCGCCCTCGGGGCGCGCTGCTTCTTGCCCCATGAGTGGAAGTTGGGCTCCTGTCTCCAGCCGGGCAAGAGCACCCACCACACGGAGGCCACCTCGTCTGTGGCTACCGAAAGGAGGAGGCGGCTCTGGTCATAGGCACGCAACTGAGGGTAGCCCTTCGCCAAGGCTGGCGCCGCCGGGCACGGCGGGAGCAGGGCCAGCTCGGCCTTTGCCAGGACGAGCGTGGCCTTGATGTGCGCAATCTGGTCATCGATCGATCTGATCCAATCCTTCGCACCGCCACTGCCCGTGTCGGTGTGAAAGCTGGCGGTCCCAGAGAGCTCCGTCGATAGCAGGTCAATGGCGTCGCCACCCTCGCCATCGGGCAGTGCCTCCGAGGCCTTGCGCTGCATGAGCTCCGCGACGAAGTTCATCAGTGAATACTGCGGATCGACGGAGGACTTGACGGCAGAGAGCGACGGGAGGACGTCGAGGCGGAAGCCGCGCGCATTGCCGCGAGCTGTGCCTCCATTGAGGACGTTCCCGACCTGTAGGCAGAGTTGAAGGCACCGGCGTAGCATTGGCGACTGGAGGACCTGCTCCGCCGCGGTCCGCAAGCTGTCCACGTTCGCGCGGACGGCCAGAGCCAGCTGTTGGAAGAGCGCCATCAGGGAGAGCACCTTGAGCTTGCGATCGAGGTGGTCAATCTCGGACATGCGCACCGCAAAACGCTCCGCCTCCGAGAGGCTGCTCTCGACCGAAGGATTCTCCGCCAGCTCCGCGCGCAGCACAGCGGCCGCAGCGGCCTCGTCGGCCGTCGGAGCGATACCACTCAGGGCGACGATGTCTTCCAAGGCGAGCAGGCCCTGCGCGTTGAAGGAGGCGACGGCGTCCGAGAGCTCCTGCGCCCCCGCTGCCAGCCCCGCGATCACAATCTCGATGTTCTGCTTGCGTTTGGTCGTCAGGATCTCGACGCAGGCAGACGAACCGCTCATAGCCGCAGAGCGCGGCGTGATCGCCCTCGCCTCTCGATACTCAAACCAGTGGCACAGGCGCTCGAGGGGCTCCGCGCCGAGTGGGACCTCGTCGAGCGACGCCCAGAGTGAGGCCGTGCTGATGCTGCCGGGGGCAATCTTCTTCCAATGAAGAGGCTTGAGCTTGAGCTGGGCTGCGGTAGGCTCGGTCTCGAGGGATGAGCAGCGGGAGGGGGGCGGCGGCGGCGGCGGCGGCGGCGGCGGCGGCGGCGGTGGCGGCGGCGGCGGCGGAGCGATCGCCGAAAGCGGTGGCGGCTGGAGAGAAGCAGCCTTTATAGACGCCGGTGCTAGCGGTGGCGGATGCAACGGCGGCGGCTGTGCCACGGGCGGTGGGAGCAGGGCATGCTGTGTAGCTGGCACGGGCGGTTCAGGCGCGGTGACAGGGATGCCGAGAACGGTGTTGCCACTGCATGGATCCGCCGCGGCCGCGGACGGTCGCGAGTCATCCTGGTTCTCCGCACGTGCGGGAGGATCGTTCCCGTGCCGAGGCGCTGACGAGGGCTCGTCCACATTGTATGGCTGCACTCGCTCGCCGGCAGCAGCACCAAGCGCTTGGAGCTCAAGAGCGAGGCTGCGGGCGTTCCCCAGGATCGCATCGCCATCGCAGCTCACAAGGTCGAGAACCTCGCCGGCATGCCCGGCGAGCAGCCGCTGCGACCGTCCAAGCGCCGCGCGACCGGCTACCGCAGGCGTGCTGCCATTCTCAGACTCAAAGCGCCGCGTGTGCAGCTGCTGCCGCAGTGTAGCGAGGAGCGCAATCTCCGCAGTGAGCTCCGCGACAGTGAGCCCATCGATGACGTCTCCGTTTGCTGAAGCCCGTGTCTGTGCCCTCCGCGTTGACATTTGTCTGTGCCCTCCGCGTCTTGGTGTCCACCTCTGAGTGCTGCTCATAGCGCAAACAGGTCCTCCGCAGGACGGACGCACGCACGCCTCGGAACCGGAACTTGAGGAAGTGAATGCAAAGTCTCCAAACGGGCGAGATCGCACGCATTCACACACAACACGTACACGTACACTCGCGCATGCTGACGTCGCTAATGGCTGTCCGTCCTCGACTCTGCTCTCTGGTGAGTCTCTGCCTCTCTGGGTCCGTGTGTCGTGTGTGTGACTGTGTGACACTCAGCGGGGCCCGGTTTGTTTTTTGTGTGAACCAGCGCGCAGCGCCATAGGCACGACGTATTTTCTTCTCAACAACGGGTCTGTGAAACGCATGCGCGTGACAGCTCTGACTCACTCGTCACAATATCAGTGCAACGCCGGGGCCCGCGACCGCCTGCTGGGGCGCTCGGAAGCCGTTCCGACACTTCGACAAAGTGGGCGCGACGCGCGCTTACACCCCTCGGCACATAGTGTGGGGGGGGCAGCGCCTGCGGGTCACACTCGAGCGACTCGGGCGGCAGCGGCGGGGGGAGCTTCGCGGAGAGCGCGCCGTAGAGCGGTCGCGGTGCGAACAAGCGCGAGCTGAGCCTACGGGACATGCGCCTACTTACCGGTATCGCCCGCGAGCAAGCGGATGGGCTCGCGATGGGGTCACGCGCCAGCCGAGGACGGCGGCAACGAGCATGGCGGTGACAACGGACGAGGTGGTGGAGAAGAGGCCCGCCATCACCGCGAAAGCCGTCATTGGGCTGTGCGTCACGCCCGCAAAGTATGCGGTCGCTGAGAGGACGGCGACAAGAGGCTCGTGCGCGGTGAGCACATGCTCACTTCCGAGGTGCCACGGGTAGATGACGTTGCGGCAGAGGAACGTCCAAAGCCGATGCCAACGGCGATGGTGGGCGCAAAGATGCCGCGCTCACTCACCGAGAGTTATGCCGCGCCAAAGATAAGAGTTATGCGGCGGCGCCTCGTCGCGGCGGAGCAGACACAGATGGCAGCGCCGAGCACACCGACCGCCCACAGAGCGCTGCCGAGGCCGAAGGCGGCTGCGGCCCACTCCAGCCGGGCAGCCGCGTCGACGCAGCGGGCCGGTACTGCGACGTGCTGCTCCGTGGATGCTGCTCGCGCGAGAGCGTGGGCGATGAGAAACGACTGGGCGGGCGCCCCGTGCCGAGCGGAGCGGAGGTGCCTACGAGCAGCATTCGTGTCGGCAGCGTACAGAATGAGGAGGGGGGTGGGCGGAGACCGGAGAGCGATGATAGGAACCAGAACGCGGCGCTGGCGGCGGCGCCGCGTTGGGAGAGGGTCGACCAAGCCCCGAGGCAGGCGTAGAGCTGAGAGCGATCGTCGAGCGCATGCACCTTGCACTGGCGGGTGAGGGAGAGTGCGTTCAGCCCGTCTTGGTCCGAGCTGAAGAGCTCACCTGTTGGCAACGCCGGCGAATGGACGTGAGGAGACGCCTGCCACAGCCCCCGTCCTGGATGGTCCTCCTGTGAGAAGGGGCTCGCACTGGCGGATGCCCATCTCGCCAGACAGCGCGCGCTGCAGCGCCGGTGCTGCAGCTGGACGGCCGTGTTGAGGTGCGTCGCTATCCGGTCGCCCCAGGCGTTGGAGGGCGAGCCGAGGGCAAAGGGGCCACGCAGCCATCGTGCGACCTGGAGGGTGGGCCGCTCGGCGGGCACCACCACCTCCACCTGTGCGCGGGTGGGTGTGGAGGTGGGTGAGAGATGGAGAGAGAGAGCAGGGACGAGGGAGCGGCAGGAGTGCGCGAGTGAAGAGGGAGTGGGTGGTGTCGGTGCTTGGTGATTGGTGATTGAAGACACCCGCGGGTCGCACCGCCCGCTCCGCGGCCACGCCACCTCCATCACTCCGCCCGCCACGCCGCTGAGGAATGCACGCAAACGGCGGGTGGCCATTATGTCCGTGTCGAGCACGAGGAGCCGCTCGACCCAGTCGAACTCCGCGGGCACCATGTCGAAGATGCGCGTCTTGAGGCTGACGTACTCCTGCTGGCGTCTGGGCTGGTGGCGGCGGGATGATACGGTGGTGAGGCGGACAACAGTGGTCCGATTGGCCGAAAATGTACTCTCCGCGACGGCTCTTCTGGCGGCGGTCTCGTCGGTCGAAAAGATGAGAACGAGCCCGTCCCACCGGCCATTGACGCGGAGGTTGAAGAGCCAGAGCGGCAGCAGAGACTGCGTGTAAAACAGGCCAGCAGCGACGGTGGCGACGGCGTCGATTGCCGTGGCAGGCATCGCGGGGAAATGAGTCTCGCCTTGGACTGCCACAGCACGAATTCCCGGAGGAGGACCAGACCGTTTTGAGTAACCGGGCACGCGCCGGTGGCATCTCTTTCCACCCAAGAAGCCCGTTTGGAGGGATGGGCGGCAGTGTGCGGGCGGTGAGTGCTAGTCGTAGTCCTCTCATCAAAATTTAGAACGAAACGCCCCTCGCTCCCTTCTTCCCTCTTCTAGCTGAGGGGCTCGCTAAACGCTCGCCGAGCTCCATGCTGTGCAACACCACCTCCTCACTAATCGTCAGGGGCGCGGAGAGCGCAGTGCACTACGGTGAGGCTGCGCAGCGGGGGCTCACCCCCTGCACCGCGCTCTCAGCGGCGCAGGGGAGGGCGGTCGGTGGCGGCGGCGGCGAGGCGCGAGGCGGTGGCGGCGGTGGTGCGGGCGGCGGGATGACAGGGGAGGCGGCGGGATTGACAGGGGAGGCGGCGGCCACGAGCGGAGCGGCGCGAGAAGGGGGGGGGGCGGCGGCGAGGCGCCGGTGAGCGAGGCGCCCGCGCCATCAGAGGGACGCGCCGCTGCGAGATGGAGGGCGGCGGTGACGGAGGCGAGGCGCGAGGCGGCGGCGGCGGCGGCGGCGGCGGCGGCGGCGGCGGCGGGTCTCGGTGAGCGGCGGCGGGAGGAGGAGCAGCGGCGGCGGGAGGAGGAGCAGCGGCGGCGCTCGCTCGCTGTTGACGGGAGCGCTTTTGAGCCTGGGAGCCCATGCCACTGCGACCGGCGTGCCCGGGAACGGAGATCGCGCGCGCGCCGCCACTCACGACGCGCGCGCGATCTCCGCGGAGTCGGGTCCCCAGAGGGAAGCGGTCTTCTCGGCCGACGTCCAGCGGCGCGCAAGGAAGCAGGCGCAGCGGAGGCGGCCTAGCACCGGCTCGGCGCCGGGCGGTTGCGCTGCCCGCGAGCCGCGTCCTGAGCCTCGGCAGCGCGCTGCGCGGCGCGGCGCTCGCGCTGCTTCTGTGCCGAGAGCGGCATGATTCGCCAGCTGAAGCTCCAGACTCCTCGGGTCCGCGAGTTCTGGGGGTCACGATTTGCGCAGGTTGAGGGGAAATTGGCGCAAGCGTCTGAAAGCAGTCTTGGGTGGTCTGCTGACGGGGTTTGCGATGAGGAGCGATCCGAACGTGGCATTTTTCATTGTACTTACGTACTTTTAGCTTCTCTCTCTCTCTTCAGTGTATGTAGCTCTTACGTACATTCCCGTAGGAGACTCTGCTGACAGGGTGTTTTTAGCAGGATTTTTTTCTTTTTTACTTCGGTGTTCAGCGCCGCAAATGAATGAACAGCGCCGCGTCCTCCGCCTCTCACCCTCCGCCGCTATCGACGCGGGCAGCGGCAATCAGGGCGGCGTCGCTGGCCCGTGGCACTTCTTCCGCGCCCTTGGTGAGTCGTGGCGGCGAACTCCGCACCAATGACACCGAGTCTCGCGCCTTCATCCAGCTGAGAGGAGCGCGGACGGCCTGCGTCGTCGCCGCCGCCTTCTCCATCCTCGTCCACACGCTCCTCGCTCACGGCGTCGTGGTCGGCTCCTTCTGGTGCCCGCTCAGCCTGTGCGCAGAGATGTGCGATGAGCCGGCCGCTCTCACCGACTCGCTCCGCTGGCAGCGCCGCGTCCTCGCGGCCATCTGCCTTATGCTCGACTTTGGCGTCATCGCCACGCACTGGCTGATGCCGGTCCACCCAAAGTTTGTCGTCGTCAAGTCCCGCCGGCGGGTGATGCGGGCGCACTTGCTCTCGGGCTCGCTGCAGTGCCTCGGCGGCCCCGCCTTCTACGCGGCGCTGTACGGTGGCGGCCCGGCCGCCGCTCGCGCCGTCTGCGTCGCCCTTGCCGCGGTTGGCTTCGGCTTGCACGTGCCGGGCGCCCTGTACCTCCTCACCTCGGCCTTTGGCGCGGTGCGGATCATGATCCCCGGCTTCCTGTACGCCACCTCGGCCTACGCGTACTCGCTCGGCAAGCTGCTGACCGCCACCGACGCGAGGCTCGAGCACGACTTCCTCTCCTACTGGCTCGTCCTCCACGTCTATGCGATGAACCGGCTGGTCTTCGCCCTCCTCACGCGCTTCAACCTGCTCGCCTCCGCGCGCTACACGCTCTCCATCCTGATCGGCCTCGCCATCGCCATGCCCGCCGCCCTCGGCTGGGCCTCCTTCGCCTTTTGCGTCTGCGCCATCGTCGTCTTCAACCTCGCCTTCCTCGCCGCCGCCGACGAGGCGGGCAGCCGGCACCGCGCGCCCCTCGCCCTCCCCCCGGTCGCCCACCCCTCCCGCTGTGCGGAAGAAGGCGTCTCGCGCGACGCAAGACGTCTACTCGGCGAGCGGCTTCTCCAACGCCGCCCTGCTGCCGCGCCACTTTGTCACGCCCGAGGGCCTCGTCGTCGCGCCCGCCCTCGCGGCGGCGGAACGGTCCCTCTCTCCGCGCGAGCGCGCGAGGCTTACCTCCGCTCGACGAGCTCCCGCGAGACGGGCCGTGAGCGGCGTCTCTTCACTCCTGCCGCCGCGAGCAGGCTCGTCTTCGACAAGCTCGACACGTCGGGGGACGGGACCATCTCCAAGGCGGAGCTCGGCGAGCTGCTCGTCTCGTGGGGGCTGCCGCGCTCCGACGCCGCCGCGTGCCTCGCCGAGGTGGACGGCGACCGGTCCGGCGCCATCGGATTCGACGAGTTCTTCCACCAGCTGGCGCCCGTGTGGGAGTTCGCTTGCGCCGTCGTCTCGTCCAACGCCAGTGTGGAGGCGCGGCTCGCGCGGCTGCTGCTGAGCGGAGGCGGGGCCGCGCCCAGTCATAGAGGAACAGGAGGAAGCCCGGCGGCTTAACCGATGCTTCGTCCTTCGAAAATTTGTAATTTTTTTGTGTACCTGTGTTATAGTCTAATATAGTGCCAGAGTGCGCGCCAGTCCCGTGCCCGTGTGCGCGAGGGATTCTCGTGTGCGAGGGACTCTCGGTAAAATTAGGACCCTACACCTAGGCCCCCGCCGCCCTAGCCTGCCCGCGAAATTCCTTGCGCAGTGCTGTGAGAGAGGCTTGTATCTGAAGAATTCACGCACCCGAATGCCGAAAGGCACCAAGCTCACCTCGCGGCAAAGGGGCAGGTTGACGGCTCGCCCTCGCTCCGTGCGCACGCAGGGCCTCTCGACGACGCAGAAGGCCGAGCTGGGACATTCTGAGCCTCCCTCATGAGCGTTCACCTGCTTCTCACCTCACTGGCCAGCCTGCAGCTGCGCTGCGACCGACGCTCGGCTCTACTCGGCACTGGCGCCGCAGCGCTGGCTGGCCCACCGGCCTCGGCAGTGCTTGCAGCAACGACCACCAAAGTCCCGACCTGGAAGCTCTCGGGTGGAGTCGCCTTCCCGACGCTCGCGCTCAACACGGCCGGGCTGACCGAGGACGGCGCGGAGCTCGCCTTCAGGAACGCGATTGCTGCCGGGATCACCCACGCCGACTTCCACCCGGGGATCGAGAGAAACGGTGTTGCTCGCGTACTGCCTCAAGTCGATCGGAAGAGCGTCTTCCTCAACACAAAGATCCCCACGAACTGGGCAAAGGGATGGTCCTCGCCGAGCGAAGCCGCAGCGTCCGTTCCGAAGTTTCTCGACGAGAACCTCGCCATCCTCGGTACCGACTATGTCGATATGCTTATGCTGAGAGATAGCACAGACCCGGCGGTGATGCAAGCCATGTGGGCCGAGATGGAGAAGGCCAAGGCGGACGGGCGCGCGCGCTCGCTCGGGGTGATCAACTACTGCGAGGGCGCGCTCAGCTGTCTCCTCGCCACCGCCAACGAGCTGCCGGCGATCAACTACTTCCAAATGCACGCCGGCATGGGCCCTGACTCGGGCAGCCTCCGCGCCTTTGGCGAGTCTCGCGGCATCCGCACCTTCGCCTATGGGCACGTCGGCGAGCGCGCCAATCCCACCGACGACACGGACGAGCTACTGTCGAGCCCGACGCTCCGTCGAATCGGCGCGGCGCACGGCAGGACCGCGGAGGAGGTCGCGCTGCGCTGGGTGCTGCAGAGTGGCGCGGCCGCGAGCGTGCGCCCCACCACGGACTTCCGCAAGGGCTTCAGCGCGTGCGACCCGACGACGAGCGCGTGCGCTGACGGGCTGCGTTCGTCCGCCAATGCCTTTAGCTACAAGCTCTCGGCGGCCGAGATGAAGGAGATTGACAGCATGACGTCGCCGAAGGGGTTCCCGACGCTATTCTCGTCACCGGGCTGCCCAGAGTCGTTCTTTGCGAAGTGAAGTGAGGTGGACACCTTCACAAAAAACGGACCTGCATGAGTGTATACACTGGTCGTAGGCGTATTGCGTGGTTTGCATGCGAGAGTAGCTACTATTATGCGTTGTGTTTTCCGCTGCATGTGCATGCACTTGTTGTTTTGCTCATCCGTCTGCCGCGGCCAGCGGCCACGCACACGTGCGCGAGACGCTTGAATGATCACTGTCGGCGTTGAAACCCCAAGGCCCAACCCGACAAGACGCCGCTTCAAGAAATTCAAGAAAAACAAAGGCACCACCGGCGCCGGACGGGAGGGCCCTGTCCGCGACTCCCCTCTACTTGGACATCCTCGCCCGACGAGGCCGCGGTCCCAGCATCGGGGCTCGCAGCCTCGGGCGAATCGGGCGCGTCCTCCTCCGCCTGCACCGCTGAACCCGCCTCGCCGGCATCATAGGCTTCCCAATCAAAAGGGTACAAATACGTGTCCGCGTTTGCATTCGCGCCGGCCGGCTTGCCCCGGCCGCGTTGAGCCCGGTTGACGAACCTCTTCCGCTTGGCTGCCGCCATCTCGCCCTTCCGCACCGATGCCTCTGCGCGGTCAAAGTCATGCGGCTTATACCACTGCTGGCCCTGGCGGCCCTCGCGACCCACGCGCAGCGGCCAAGCGCTGCGCACCCGGCCGGAGCGAACCTGGCCTGGTGTCTCCGATCGCCCAGGAACCTCCTCGGCAGGCTCCTCCGCGATGGCGACAACCTTGCGAGGCTTCGTTGCCCTTCGCCGCAGAAAGGTGAAACGGGTCTGCCGCGACGACTTGCCGCTGGCGCTGCTCAACTCGCCGTCCCGAGTCGTCCGATGCGATTCCCCTGACCCTTCGGTGCCCTTCCTCTGCGGTGGCGGCGTCACCCCCTCTATGCCCGCACTGCCATCATCATCCAAGCTCAAGGCAGCTGCGTCGCCAGCCGTCCCTCAGGAGACGCCGCCGCCGCCGCCGCCGCCGCCGCCGCCGCCGCCGCCGCTCGCGCCGCCGCCGCCGCGCCCCCGCCCCCGCCCGCCGGTGGCGCGGCCTGCGAAACGTGAAACGAGGCGGCAAAAGCAAGAAAAAGCTGAAACGGGTTTTTTTGCCTGCTGCGATTTCTTCTTTTCTTGCAAGAAGTCAGCATGCCTGGGCACCCGCATCGCGAATGATCTTGCGGTGGCACATGTGCCCAAACGAAACGCCAATCGATCTCTGACGCAGGATGGCGGTGGCTCCTCCCGCCATGTACGGCGGCGTGATGCTCTGGCTCGCCGTCACGAGTGCGCTCGGCGTCTGCCTTCCCGCTCGCGCCAATCTCAGCACAAGCCTGACGACGGACCTGCTCGCCAACTTTTCGGCCGGTGTGATCCTGTCTGTGGCGCTGCTACACCTCCTCGACGACGCGCAGGAGCGGCTCGGAAAGCTGAGCGAGTATCCAGCCGCCAACGCCGGAGCTCTCGTAGGCTTCCTGGTGATGGCGGCGACTCAGGCCTTCATCCCGTGCCTTTTCGGCCAGTCGACACGCACTCCTCTGCTTCCGACCAGCCAGTTCGATGGCGGGAGCACGCTCGCCAGCTTCTACGCTCTCGAGGCCTCCATCTCGCTCCACTCTGTCCTGATAGGCCTCGGGATCGGCTTTGCGCAGTCGGGCTGGACCGAGCTGCTCGTCCTGGCGATGGCCATGTCGGTGCATCAGTTCTTTGAGGGCTTCGCGCTCGGCATGCTCGCGCGCCGCACGCAGCTGTCCCAGACCGGCCGGCGGCTCACCTGCCTCATCTTCACTCTCTCCCTCCCGCTCGGCTGCGCCAGCGCGGTCGCCGCCAAGGCGGCGGCGCGCGGCTTCGAGACGAGCTCGTCGTACCTCTGGGTGTCTGGGCTGCTCAACGCCTTCGCCGCGGGGATGCTCACGCAGATCGGCGTAGAGATGGTGAACCACGAGCTCACCGGCTCGCACGCGCACAGCTGCGCCGACCTCGCGCCCCTTGTACGGGAGGAGAGGCCGGGCGCCGCAGAGAGCGACCGATGCTCGCCCGGCTGCGCGCTGGCGCCGGAGAGGCCGCCCTCGCTGGCGCACCGCCTGCTCAAAGTCTCGGCGATCGCGGCAGGCGCGGCTCTCTTCGGTGTCCTCGCAATCTGGGCCTAGAGCTCGGGTGCGATTCCGCGATCAACCCCCGCGATATTATCGACGAATGGCGATGTTTGTGTGTTGTTTTGTTGTTTGAGAAAAAAAGTCCGTCTATGGAATATGACAAACTGTGACACATTTCGTTGAGTCAGTGCAGTCACATTTATTTTTTCACCGCCGCACCGACACCGCGGTCCCCTCCACCGCAGTGTCCAGTGAAAAGTTCGACTCGACCCCGAACGGCCGCTGGCAATACCGCCGAGAGGGCATGCAGTCGACGCTGCAGTAGAGCCAGTCGGCGGCCGGCGCCGACTCGCCCCTGGGGTCAGGCCAGCTGAAGAGGGCGCGCCCCTCCTCGAGCGCCTCGCCCTGTTCAGCCACCGCCATCCCTCTTCGCGACCAGTCAGCGAGCAGCGCCGCGGCCGCGCCGCCGACGACGCCCGGCGATGAGGGACGCGTGTGGTAGCAGCGGAGTCGTGGGACAGTGAGCGGGTAGCCGAGTGGGTCGGCGGCGTTGTCGTGCTCCAGCTTCCTTGCCGACGCTCGCCACAGCATCGCGAGATGCTCTCCGCGCGCCATGCCCGCGCACTTGGGGCAAGGGAAAACCCGCGAGCCGCGAGAAGCGACCTCAGCGACGCTACTCGCATGCTCCGCGAGCATCGCCGCCGAGAATGCGTCGCGCGAATTTCCGCTCTGCACGCAAGCTTGCTCGTCCCCCGTGCTGCCCTGCACGTTCGCAGGCACGCAGCTGTACGGCTGGCCAAGGCACGACGGGGCTGAGGTGAGGCGGTGAAGCTGGAGCCACCACGCCGCATCGGTGGCCGTTCGACCAAACAAGTGCATCGCCAGCAAGTTGCGCGTCTCGAGAACCGCGCTCGCGCCAAAAAGGCGCCCCGTCACGGGCCACGGCCAAAGATGGTTAAAGTGCCTGTTCACAGCGGTGAGCGTGAAGCGACAACGCTCGCGGCACTTCCCTGCGGCGAGCGCACAATAGGTCGAGGGCGACGGCCCCGCGCGCCACCACCGAGACCCACAGCGCGATGGTCGAGTCGGTTGCGAGCTGGCACTTGTAGTCGCGCCAGTCGCCCGATTTACCAGCGCCAGGCTTCTTCTCCGCCGCCCAACTGCACTAGCACAGCCGCACAGAAGGTGTCGGTAGGTGGGAGGGAAGGCATGTCAGGAGGGTAGCGGCAGGAAGGCAGAGCACCGGCCAAATTCGTCAAGAAAATCATGCACCTGCGAAGTGTGAGAGCCGCCGGCTGAGTGGCAGGGTTCACGGTGCAGGCTCGAGAGGGAGGGTGATCGCCGGCTGAGCGCGAAGCAGCTCGCGCGCTAGGCTGCCAGAGAGGAAGACGGCCGTGCCTATTTTGCTATGGACACGCTATGGCGAGCTTTCGCGGGCGAGGCTCCCCAGCAAAGGCTTTAGCGGCGCCGTGCGCCATGAGAAAGGGGTGTTGCCACTGTGACCTGTCAAACCGCGAGGCGCCGCTCTCAGCGCTGCTAGCCGCACCGCTGCTGTTTCCGCTGCTGTTTCCGCTGCTGTTTCCGCTGTCGCCGCTGCTGTTGCCGCTGCCGACACAGTCCACAAGGTACTGCTGCACTGCCGCTTGGAAATTAAAGTGCCACCCGCGCGAGGTCTGCGCGCTAAAGTCCCGGTGTGCCTCTCTTTCCCACTACCTGTAGTTCACTCGTCACCTCTCCTGCGAGCCCCCTCTCTTTCTTTCGGGTGTGGAGTCCGTGAGCGCGATTTCCTTTTCAATATCAACGTTTAGCCCCAGCACGATTTCTTTTCTGTGAGAGAGGCTTCTAGAATTCTTTTCTCCCCGCCGAGCAGCCCAGGCCCTCACACAGCCACAGCTCACGCTTGGGGCACAGAGTACCTCAATCTCGCGCGAGCCGTCGGCGCGCTCGGCTACACAGCCTACCCGGGCGACACACCCTACACATCCTAACCCTGCGGCGCTCTCCGCCGCGCCTCTCTCCGCGCCCCTGACGCGTCTTCGCCTCATCCCAACGCAGGCGAGGGACCGGTGTCGCGCGCTACAAGCACTCTTGAATAAAAAATCGGGTGGAATGCCCACCCCCCTCAAGTCTTGTGTGGCATGCAAGGCATCGAAGGTCAAGTGCGACGCGTTGGCGATGCCGCCCGGCCAAAAATGCACGAGGTGCGCGAGGCTTGGGCTGAGGTGCGAGCAGGCCAAGGCCTCGCCGCGGACCAAGAGGGGCGCTTCCGTGGGGGATGTACCTCAAGCAAGGGCAAACGGCGAAGAAGTGGATGCGTCGATTGCGTATCTCAAGAGCATCCTCAGCTCCGGCGGGGAAACCTCGCCTCCAGAGTCGCTCGTGTACATGCTCCGCTTCCACGCCGCGATGGCGCGCAGCCGCGGCTCGTTCGATGGGATGAGCGGCGTCTTGCGCGCCTGCTCCGCGCTCGGCGTGCCGCTCCAGCAGGTGCTCTCCCTTCCAAAGGCGATGCCGCCGCCGGAGGGCCCGCTCGAGCTGCCCGGTCAGTCCGAGGCCATGCTGGGTCACCCGGGAAGCTACGTGCACGTGCGGCACCTGCGGGACGGCTGCCCGCACCTGCGCTCCAACTTTGCGTGGGAGAGCGCGATCCTGCCGATGGCCGAGACGATCTCCTCCTTCGAGGGCACCACCCCGCTCTGCCCGCTCGAGCGCGCGCTGCACGCAGAGGACCGGCCGCTCGCGCTGCAGCTGCTCGTCTCCGTCCCCCTCCTCGCGGCCGGGACCGAGTACGCGCTGCAGCTGCCGGTGCCCATCCGGCTCTTCGACCGCTGCAGCCAGACCTACCGCCCGTGCCAGCTACTCTCCCGCATGAGCCTCTCCCCCGACGGGCGCGCCACGCCCCTCCGACCCCGCGCGCCCTCTCCGCCGCCCCACAGACGCAGCTCACCCCGCCCCACACCCCGCCCTCACAGCAGACCCCCCCCCCCCCCCCCCCCCGTTTCGAGGGACCCGGGTAAACTTTGCCTTCCCCCCCCTCCCCGCCACCCGTCCCGCCGTCCAGCCGCTCCTGGACGTACACCGTCGGCCTCATCCCGCTCTCGCACCTCGCCGTACCGCACGCGCCGCCCGCGCTGCCCGTCCTCGCACAAGCTGCACCTCAGCCTGCCGGCGTCGCCGAGCCAGCAGCCGCGGCCGCACCTCTCGGGGCCGCCCCTTTCGCCCCCGGGGGCGCTGCGCTCGGCGGCTGGGCCCCCGCCGCCGTCTTCGCGTACGGCTTCACCCCTGTGAGCGCCGACGAAGACGCGGACGCGAGCGCCGACAGCGAGGCCGCCGCCGCAGCCTTGCTCTTCGACGACAACGCCGCAGTCTTCGCCGACGCAGAGCGCCTGCCGTCGCCGCTCGGCGAGGCCTGCCTCCCGCCGGTCGGGCCGTCCGCGCTTGACGAGGGGCTGCTCGCCCCGCCCACCCCGCCGCCCATGTCCATCGACGTCTCCGCGACGCAGCCCGCCGAGCCGGCGGCGGCGGGCGAGCCCCTGCTTCTCCGCGAGCTGCTCAGCGAGGTCGCGTCGAGCGCTGTCGACCCGTGTGCGCGCCAGCTCGGACCGGAGGCGATCGAGTCGTGCTTCGACGTCCTTTCGACGGAGGCGGCCGCCGAGACCAAGATACAGCCGAGATGTAGCGAGATACAGCCGAGATATGGGCGCCCTCTCGGCGGAGGCCGCGCCGCACACGCCCCGCCCCACACTCCGAACCCCACACTCCAAGCCCCGTGCCTGCACACTCCGAACCCCACACTCCAAACCCCGTGCCTGCACACTCCGAACCCCACACTCCAAACCCCGTGCCTGCACACTCCGAACCCCACACTCCAAACCCCGTGCCTGCACACTCCGAACCCCGTGCCTGTGACGGGCACCCTCCTCGCACACAGCGAGAGGGGCGGGGGGCGTAGCGTGCCCCACGGCGACGCTGGGGGCGGGGCTGGCGCAGCAGGCGCACCTCCACCGCCGACTCCAGCCGCCCAGCGCATCCCGAGCGGCGGGTCGGTCCCCCCGCGCCAGGCGATCGCCCTCGTCACCCTGCACGGCCTCGAGGAGGGGCCGGTCCGGCCAAAGTTCGAGCGCGTGTCCCGACCCGTGATCGAGACGTGGTGCGACTGGTTCCCGGGCGCGCGCGAGGGCGCTGCTGCCGTGAGGCGCGTCCACGACACGTCCGTGACTCGTCCACGACGCGTCCTCGCAGGCGCGCGCGAGATTGTGCACGAGGCGACTGAGGCGGGCCGGCGGCGCGGCGTCAATCCGCTCGACGACTCGGCCCTCGCCGCCCTGGCGGACAGGCTGTTCGAGTCGGTGGTCCTCGCCGCGATCGGCGACACGGTGGCGCACGCGCAGCACCGCCGCGGGCGGAGGGGAGGCCCCCTCCCCTCAGCACACGACTGGCTCCTCGCGCCAGGTGGCGCACGACATGCTCGACCTCGCCACCCATGGCGCAACAGCCTCGCAGACGGTCTACAACGGGAAGAGGATTGGAGTCAAGGCGAGCCTCGCCCCGACTCGCCGAGACTGGCCGAGAGTCGATCGGTGGCGGCAGCGAGGCTACGTGCTAGGTCCCGGTCCCCGCAGTTCGCCGCCACTGCAGTTCACCGCCACTGTGGCCGGGCGGTCGAGACCTCGAACTAATCTATTCGTTAATTAATTAATCCACTGTGGCCAGGCGGTCGAGACTTCCGTCGCGGGCTGCTTCTTTGTCCACTTCCCGGTCGAGGCGGACGAGGAGGCGTCCCTCCAAAGCCTGGCCCAGAGCACCTCCACGCCGCCGTTCTCCGTCTCGACCCCGCCCTCGCCGCCCGCGCCGGCGTGGCCCGCGCCGCCCGTGTCGTGCTTCGAGGCGCTGCCCTCGCCGTCGCGACGCACCGCGGAGGGTGGCTCGCCCGACGGCGGCGGCCACCTCCTCAACGTGTGGGGCGAGCTTCTCGAGCCCGTGGGGCGGCATGGCGCCAGCCGCCTCCCCTTCCTCCTCTGCCGCGAGGGACACATCCCCGCGCGCAGCCTCGCCGCGGCGATGGGGGTCGGCGCGGGCCAGTTCCTCTACCTCGGCCCCATCCTCCTCGCCTCCGGGACGCCGCACGCTGTCCGCTCCGCCGAAGCGGGGCAGGCGTGGGCAGAATACGCCTCCGACGGGCTCACCGCGGCGCAGGCTCGTCGCGCCGCCGCCGCCGCCCCGGGAGAGGCATGTAGGCCCCGGGGAGAGGCATGTAGGCCCCGGGGAGAGGCATGTAGGCCGCGGGGAGAGGCGGGGCCGCGTACCGGTGTGCGTGGTGCGGCATGTAGGTCGTGGCACTCTGTGCGGCGCGGCTGCTGCACGGGGCGGCGCGGCTGCTGCACGGGCACTCCATCGCGATCGCCGTACGCACGTACGTACCCGCGCTCGTCTTCGTCGGCGCCAACATCGCTTGCTCCGTCAAGTCGGAGGCGCGCGCACACACATCACACACACACACACACTCTCACACACACACACAACGCACACACACAAACACTCACACACACACTCACACCTCCGCAGGCGCCGTACCCTCGCACGCTCCGAAACCTCGAGCTCTTCCGCCTCGCGACGCTCTGCGTGGCCGCCCTCTCTCGCGCCCGATCCAGCAGCCACCTGCCCTCCCCCTTCCTCCGCGTCGTCGCGTGGCTGTTGCCCACGCTCTCCGCCGCCATCGCCGCGGCCAGTGTCGCCCTCACCAGTCGGGCAAAGCCAGCCTCACCGCGAGAGGTGGTGCGATTCGTGCTGTGCGGCGAGTCGGCGCTGCGTATCCTCATCCTCCTCGCCTCGCTCCTCCTCCTCCCCGACGCCGGCACCCGCCTCTCCGATGTCCCCTCCGCCCTGCCGTCCAACGGCGACGGGACGGGCGACATCAGCGCGCTGGAGGAGCTCGTCTTCTGCTGCGGCTGCGTCCTGGCGAGCGCGTATGTCTGGACGGCCGTTGAGGCGTGCGCTTCTGCCCTCCGCCCGTCGCGACGGCGCTTGAGCCGATGCCTCTCGCGCACCGAGGCGGGAAGCCACCGCCAGCAGCAGAGACAGCATGTGTAGGCTTGGCTCGGTGTACTCTAGAGGCATGTGCGGGGATGTGCGACCTCACGCATCTTGCTTTGGTATGCTTTGGTATGTGGCCGCGTCGAGTACAGTACTGTGGGTGTAGTTTTTCGTCGCCGTTCCGTCATGTGCTGCGCGGTGGTTTTCTCGTTGGAGACCGGTGAGCGGTGTGTGATGTGTGTGCGTGGAGAGCACCAGCGACCAGTGCTAGTACCTAGTGTGTATGTCCCTCCTCCTGTCGAGGAGAGCGAAAGCGTAAATAGAAATAAAAAATTACTTTGGTCTTTGCGTCTTTCGCCGGCGATGGTGCGCGACACGCGACAGACACTACTCTCCTTGTGGGGGTAGTACGCCTTGATAAGCGAGGAGAAGCAGACAAGCACGCTCACGGCGGTGGCGTCCAGCACCGTCTACGTGCTCGGGCGCGAAGCCATCCAGAGGCTGACCCGCGAGGACCCCTTCGCCTTGTGGGTGCTCGCGCGGATCGCCATCGGCCACCTGGGTGGCCGATGCTTCCACCCCATGAACCGGGTCTGGGAGACCCGCAGCTTGCCCATCTGAGAGTGTTTGCGCTCGTCGTGTTTAGGGTGTCGAGTCCTCACCCCCCCCCCCCCCTCTCGTCTGCACTCCCTTTTTAGATACACAGTATATCTATCACAATTCACATCTGCGTCCTTTTTTGTTCAATTACCCCCAGCGCAGCAGCTTGCCTTTATCTAGGTATGACTCCCTCCTCAGGTCGAGACACGTCGTCCCCTGAAGGCAGTATCGCGACCGGTCGGTGCACGACGTCGCCCCCTGAACGCCGCACTTAGATCTATTGTAGTCAAACGTCGGCGGCTCACACGCGCACATCACAACAGGCGCCGTGAGCGGCACTTTTCGGAAAGCGATCAGCTCTGTGATCAAGAGAGCGAAGGTTGAAAAGCCATTTGGCACGCGGCTCATGCCCACCAACGCATCCGCCATCGAAAGTAGAAAAACATCGCGCACGGCGGAAGCCTCAGTCAGGTTGCCGTGATCTCTCGTGGCGACCTGCTGCGCGTCGTCAGCCGCCACTTCAGTGGCAGCATGCTCGCTTTGTACGATGCCACACTGCGGGAACCCAGCTCTCTGCAGGACCCGCAGCATGACACGCCTGATCGCCAAAGGCTCCTCGTCTCCCGCAAGCAGCACAGTGCACGAGTTACGACCGGCGAGGCCGTCCGAGAGCAGCCGGCGCGTGGCGGAGATGAAGGAAGCGTCGGACAGCGCGGATTCGGCGTCGTCTAGGTAGGTTCGCAGGTGCACCGCCAGCCAAAATTCGTCGGCTTGCTTCCTGCCCAGGCTCCTCTGCCCGCCGGAGCCCTCGCGAGCACGCTCGCAAAGACCGGCGGCGCCCGTGCTGAACCTGCTGCACAGTGCGCGAGCAGTCGGCGTGGCAACCGTCTCGTTGTCAAAGGTGAAGAGGGTGTGGAAGAGTGCTCCATACGCGGCGCCGGTGCCAAAGGCAAAGAGGGTGGCAACTCGGGAGGCGGCTGGGCCGACCCATCGGTGTGCCACGGCTGCCATCAGCGCGGCGATGGGCTGGTAGTTTGCATATCGCGACGGGTCAAATCGCATCACATTGCTGCTGCTATTGGCGAGGGTGGCCGGTCTCGACCACTCACAGAGGGAGAGAGCGCTGGTAGAGAGCGCTGGCTGAGACCCCGCACCAGAGCCGGCCGATGTCGCGCCAGTGCGCACAAGCGGTTTCCACACAAGCTCACGACTGCCGATGGCAACCTGGGACCAGTTCTTGGTCGCCCGCTTGGACCCCTTTTTCGCCTGTTCTCGAGTGAGCAGCCATCCCCTCCGATGCAAATACTTTGAGCATGAGGCGTTGACGTCGCCACTCCAGAGGAGCCAACGCCTTTCAAGCAGGGCAAGCGCGAACGCGTTCGTGAACTGATGCAAGTTGTTCCCAATGCGGTGCGGGCAATTGTAGCTTGCGAGTAGGACACGAGTGCCTGGGTCGGCGGCCGCGGCGGCCCACTGCTCGGCCGAGTGTGCGGCGGTATAGCTGTGAATCAGCTCGAGGGTGGCTGCTAGGGAGGTCGGCGAGGACACCATTAAGGGGGCGAGTGATTATATCGGAGTTATCGCCCCGGCGCGAGGAGATTGGCAACTTTCTCAAGTTAGAGCCTGTGCAGCTTGAGCACTTGAGCACTGGATAGGGTCGATTCCGCATGGTACGGGACCCCTCGATCGACTCGCCCTCCCTCGCTGGCGTGCTCACTGGGGGGGGTCATAACAAACACGGTACAGGATCGAGGTGCACGCCGCTGACTGAGGGACCCCAGAGGGTAGATCGAGCGGTGTCGTCCCCCCTCTCCATCATCTCACTGGGAGACGTCGGCGGTGATGGCGGTGTGACCGATCGAGCTACAAGAGGAGCATGTGCAGCTGTAGCCTTCGTGTTGCGATGCTTCCTGGCGAGGGAGTGCTGCACATGCCCGAGTGCCAATTTGGCTACTACGGGTAGGGTTGCGTTGTCCTATCTAATCCGTCCGTCCTGGACGTGCGTTGGCGCGTGCATATCCCTTCCGTGGTGCTTGCGAGACGCCTCGCGACTACCGCGCTCCGGCATCCTTGCGTGTCCCTGCTCGACTGTCCGGTCCCGGGCCATGCGGAATCGACCCCATCCCAGTGCAACAGCGCAACAACTGTCCTGGTCCTGTGCGTGGTCTTGCTGGGGCCCGGCGGTGGTCTGTTTGTGTAGAGTTGGCAGGGGTTCGGCGGGCGCTTGCTTGCACGCCGCCCGACAGCAGTCATGGTTGTAGAAGGGGGCCAAGGCTTCGATCCAACAACAGTGGAGCTCCAGATCACCGTGCGACGCCTCGACGGCAAGCTAGGTGCCGCCCTGCCATCGTACCCTTCCTCTGCCCAAGGCACAGCGCTAGCCACTCTTGCGAGCTAACCGCCGTCTGCTTGAACTCTCTGTTAGGATTTGGGGTGGACAAGAACAATGTTGTCGTCGATCTGGAGCGCAAATTCCCTAACGGCGAGACCCAGCCCGCTTTCCTGGTTGCGAATTTCTTGCGCCAGCATGCGCCCACAAGTCCCGATGGATGGCAGGCGCGGCTGCACGCGATGGACTGCTCAAGCTCGGCGACCAGGTGGTGGCAGTGGACGGAAGGCTACTCGGTGGACGAAACATGTCGCAAGAGGCGCGAAGGGGGGAACGGCGGGTGTTGTAAGTGGCAGGATGGACCTCACTGCCGCCGGCCGGTATGGCGGTGCTTCTAGGTGGACCCGGACGAAGATCTCCACCTCCTCACCGTGCTGCGCCGCGACCCCACCCTCCGCGCTAGCCTCGACCGGCTGCCCGAGGCGCGATGTAACGGTCCGCGAGACTTGTTGGAAAATTCGAGGGACGCCGATCCACCCCCCACCTTCCCCCTAGGCCCATCCCGCCACCGAGCCGGGCGCGTTGCTCCACCTGCTCCGGGCGGTGATCGATCGAGAGAGCGGGCGCGCTAGTGCCCACTGCCAGCGCCGCTTGACCCACGACGACCACCGAGTGCTGTGCCATTGCGCCTCAGGGAGTCACTCGGCGTAGAGATGACAGCGTCCAACGTGGTCAAGGGGCTGCTGGAGGAGGGTCCTGCATACCGATGCGGCATCATGCTTCTCGACGTGGTGGTGGGGGTCAACGGCACTGGGCTTGGCATGCGGCGAGTAGTGGACGTGATCGGCGCCGCCGGGACTCCCCTTGCCTTCACACTGGTGCGGAGACTCCTTCTAGACACTGCCCCTGCACCCCCCCTTCTGATGCTTTTTAAGACACCCGAGGTTGCTGTCCCACACCCTTGTTGTGCCTTGACCTGCGACCAGCCCCGTTCCTCAGGTTCGCGTGGAGGAGCGCGAGGAGTTGTGGGAGGACGACATCATCGACCACCCTAGCCACACGCCCTACTTGCAGACGCCCGTGATGGCGCCGCCGCCCACCATGCTGCTGATCGAGGGCGAGTCGTACCAGCTTCTCGACCCCGACGGGCCTCCGCCCGATTTCGCGGCAGGCAAACTTGCTACACACATATCCCCGGGCCCTTGATCCAGCGCGAAGAGGTCGGGGCGTCTCAACCCACTCACGGCTCCGACCACCGCCAGAACGCTCCCAGAACGTACACGGCCCGTCGTCTCGCAGTTGCTATGCGCGACAAGGCCCGCGCAACGGTGCGGCAGACGGACGGACGCGACATCGACGCGTGCGCGCGGGCAATGCGAGAGGCCAAGTTTTGGAGGATGCTCTCACGGCCCACGGTGGACCGCTGCGAAAGCATCCTCGGCTTCTTTGGCCAGCAGCTCGTGGCGGGCTCGCTGTACACAGTGACCGAGCCATGGGTGGGCAATCTTGCCGCTATCTCGGCAGCGCAGCCGGACAAGATGACGCCACCCACCGTCCGAGGCATCGCCATCGACCTTTTTCGTGGGCTTGCGCACATGCACACCGTCTGCAAGCTCGTCCACTGCAACCTCAGACTCGACAAGCTCGTGCTCTGCGCCGGAGGCACGCAGCAACACGGCAGCCCAGGCATCCACCCTACAATACGCTCAGAAGCCCCGGAGCATGCCCCTAGGCGCGTGGAAGATTTACGGCATGAGCTCCGTCGCACGCCTTACGGGAGTCCGAGTGTCCGTCGCGGCGGCGCTCGACGCGGCAGGCGGGAAACGCGTGCCCTACGCCGCGCTTGCCCCCGAGCTCGCCCTGCCGGAAGGTGAGGCGCAGGTCGGCACGCCGGTCGACCTCTGGTCTGCGGGTTTGCTGCTCGCCCGACTCCTCAAGGGGACCGAGCCCTCCTTCACCCAGCCGACGGAGCTGCCTCTTCCGACGGAGCTGCGGGGAGGCAGCGATTTATGTGGCGGGATGTTGTGCGATGCGGTGGCGCTCTGCCTCGAGACGCAGCCGCAAAATCGGCCCACGGCGGAGGAGCTGGCTGCCTACCTCTCCAATGGCACCACCGAGCAGAGCGGTGACTTTGCGGACCTGAGGCTGCACGTGCAGGTGCGGCGCGACGCGAAGGGCCTCGGCGTGGGGGTGACGAGCTCCAACGTCATCCAAAGCTTGTCTGCCGGCCACGTGCTCCAGGTTGGCGACCAGATCCTCGGGGTGGATGGGGAGCGCCTGGCCGGGCGGCACCTGTCGCAGGTTCTCGCGTCCAGCCAGGCGGTCTACGACTTTGAGGTGATGCGCAGCGACCACGTGGTGGGCATGACCCTCCGCAAGGTCCCGCCCGATCACCCCATCTTGCGACCGCGCGCACGGATCGACTTGCTGCGAGTGGATTTGGTGCGTGACTCTGCTGGGCTCGGACTCGACCTCAGCCCGTCCAATGTGGTGCGCGACATCAGCCGCGGTGGGGCTTCGGAGCGGACCGGGCTGCTACAGCCGGGCGATGTCATCATCGCCGTCGACGACGAGCCGCTCGGAGCAAAGAGCGTGGCAGAGGCGCACATCAGCCACGGCCCCGAGACGTCGCTCACCATCCTTCGCGCCGAACCGCTGCGCGTTTCCTCTATCTCCCTCGCTCCGCCGCCTTTCCTGCGGCTGCACCTCGAGAGTGATGCCTCGAGCACCGCCCGCTCCTCTCCCGCCCCCGAGCTAGACCCGCCGCCGGCGACTCTGCCGACGTCAACAGCGACGGCCGCACGGGAGCCGGCCACGACGCCCCCGCCTACGCTCGGGCCGACGCGCGCACTTCCTCCCATCGTGATCCTACCGACAGCACCTCGCGGGGCGGGGAGTGCGGGCGGCGGGCCCGACCTGCCCGGCGGCGGGACGGGCCCAACCGACTCGGAGCTCCTCGACTTCTTCCTCGAGCTCCAGGGCTTTGACCGCATATCAATCCTCTCGATGTACCAGAGCAACAAGGCGTCCGCAAAGGCGGCGCTCTGCGCGGCCGAGGCGGAGGCGGAGAGCCGTCGCAGCGAACTCGGCCTGCCTCCGCTGGCGGGCCGGGCTACCGAGGCCCCAACGCTTTCTCCGCCCCGGTCGTCAAATGGGGGCGTCGGCGGAGGGGGCGGCGCCAGCGAGTCGGGTTCGCTACCCAAGTCGGGCGGGCTCTCGCACCTCCTGCGGCTCCCGGTGGACAACGACTTCGAGCCGGCGCCGCTCGAGGAGCAAGAGGGCGAGGCGGCTGCGGCCGAGGCGGAGGCAGGGGAGGAGCCACTGGCATTGCGCATCCAGCGGCTATTGGCGCAGTCCAGCGACCAGCTCGAGAGCCCCGCGACCGAGCTCACCTCTGGCGAAGCGGAGGCGGCGGCGGGTGCCACGGGGACACCAGTCTTGGCCAACGCGGTGGCCGCGAGTGGCTCGCTGAGCGCCGACGCGTCGGAGCAGCGCTTTTGAGGGGGCGGGAGGCGAGGGGGGAGCAGCTGCGACGGGGTGTTTTGGAGGGGAAGAGAGCGGCGCCGCTCGCCCGGCTACTGCCCCGAGAGTTACAGCTCACACGCGTCACGCCCCAAAGCGCGCGCCGGGCCTGCAGGATCGCACTCCCCGGAGGGCGGGGGATTTGAGTAGTGCCACTCGCCCTAAGCAGAGCATTTTCTTAAACGAAAAGCGCGCGCTCTCCTAGAGCCGTAGCCCAAGGTCAGCTCTCAACTAAGAAAGCTACACCGCAACATGAACAACAGTCTCAAGCGTTCTCCCACAGACGAAAACTCTCCTCGGACAGGCCCAAAACAAGCAAGCTGTGTGAATGCCGTAGGTAGCTGTGTGAATGCCGCTCTCTCTCTCGCCCGACTGGCTCCAACTGCAGCCCCTTGGAGTGTGAAGGCTTCTTAGCCCTCCGGTCTACTGCAGCCCCTTGGAGTGTGAAGATCCGCAGGACTGGAGCGAAAAAAAGCAAGCGAGTGCTCCGACTGGCTGTGGCTCGGCGAGCCACACAGACACAAAACTCTCTCACCAACCCTCTCACAAACTCTCTGCACCACAGACGTTTACGCTCCTCGCACGCCCGTCGTCAGACGCTGTACAGGCGTTTCAGCATCTTGTGCTCGCAGACCGCGTTATTTCTTCCCGGTGGGGGGCTCGCCGTGCTGCAGTAAGCCGCATACATTGCTTTGAAGGCAGCCTGCAGGAGGAGGGCCGGGCGGCATCGGCGTGGCGTCGTGTGCGCGCGCAGCCGGGAGGTTGGCCTACATGCGAAGGGAGGGAGAGACCGGCGCGCGCCTTGGTCTCGGACGTCATCTTCTTGCGCTCGTCCGGAGGCATGGCTTTCATCTTCGCCTGTCGCAGGAGGGAGGAGAGTGCGATGGTGCGAAGTGGAGCCGCGGCCGCGGCGCGGAGAGATAGTCGGAGCCAGAGGCGATTGTGCGGTGCGAAAGAGAGCAGCGGGGCGTGCGGCGCGGTGCTGGAGAGGGCGCCGCCGGCCTGCCTCTCGATCAGCATCTTCTTCTTCTCCTCCAGTGTCTTGGTCTTGCGCATCTCCTTGAGGAACAAATGTGTCTGCGGCGAGAGCACGGTCGCGCGGGATCGGTGAGTAGGCGCTGCTGTTGCTCCTAGGTTGTGGGCCTGCCCGATCGCACCTTGCATGGAGTCAAGTCGGCATGGGTAGGGCAGTACGAGCTGAGCATAAGCTCTCTCAGCTTTCCGATTTTCAAAGGCTCTCTCTCGCCGCTCGGTGAACTCGGGGTCCCCTCGGCCGGAGCAGCAACGACCCTGGAGACTGCCAGGCACGCAAGAAAGAGGCGGGCGAGCGACGGCGCCATACTGAATCCCCAGTAAGATCGTAAACCGCCGTGAGGATCGGCTTTCTTTTACCTCAGACGCTGTTCGAAGGAGAATTTTGCGCGACACCGCGTCAACAACACCGCGTCAACAGGGTTACGGCGCTCCTTCCTGTGCTCGCGACGTACGGAGAGTCCAGAGAGATTTGTGTTTGTTGATTGACGTACGCCCGCGCTGCGGTGCCGGCGCACGGCGCGCACCAAGTTCAAGCTGGAGTTGATCGTTGCTTCCCTTTCGCGAGGCGGTGCGATCGCCGGAGCGGGGCGTTCTGCAGTTAAGGAAGGGTAGACCCGGTACACGGAACTAACCCTCGGAGACCCGTGTAGCGTGTTTACTTTACGGCCCTTTCCCTGCGAACGCGCACCCCCCCAGGGCTAGGGCTCTCTAGCCCGTAACCCGATCCCGATCATCCGGCCCGCTGGGTGCGCTTCTTAGGACTTAGCTCCCCGGCCCTGGATGTGAGGCTGATGACCGCACTCCAACGTCCAAGTGCTCCAAAGAGGCCTCGGTCTCCCCTCTGCCCGTACGTGCGACTTTCGCTAACTAACTCCCTCGTAGCTCGTCTCACTTACTCACTTGAGCACGTTTGGCCCTAACTCGACACAAAAACAAATTGCGTGTTCGAGTGTTTGATATTGCTGAAAATCTCTCTCTTCTCTCTCTAACTGGAGGCTTTGACCTCTCAAAAGAAAGAAAGAAAGAAAGAAAAAAGACAGCCCAAGGGAGGGATGGGAGGACGGCACGCCGCCACCACACAGGATTTTAAGGAGAGGGGAGTGTGGTGGTGCTAGCCGTCGCCCACCCTTGGGCGTCTGCCTCTTCCACTTCCTATCTCCTCCTCTCTTCGCAGTCCCTCGCCGATTCTCGCTGCAACCTTCATGCCACCTCGCGGTCCACGTCCCACTCTCGTCGTTCTTTCTCCTGTCGCTTCAAGCCTTCATCCTCTGTCGCGTCGCTCTCCCCTGCCTCGGTCTGCGACGCCGCCGCCGCCTGCCACTCCCTTGCTCTCGCGGCTTCTCCCGCCTCTGACTCGGCGCAGCTCCGCTCTCCTCGCAGCGTATTTTGGCCCCTCGAGTTTATCGAGCTCTCCTCGCGCAAGGACGACTCTACTTCTGAAAAACAATGTGTGAGTGTTGAGTTTTTTTACCTTTGATTCTCTGCTGCTTGATTCTTACGTCCTTAACCCGCGAAAAGGCAGGCTAGTACTTGTGTGCTCACACCACTGCACTGTGGGGGGTGCCGAGCCATGTATGTGTGCGTGACGCGTGCGAATTTTTTCTTGCGAGAAGGCGCTTGGCACCTTGGGCTTGGCTCGCGGCGGCCGGCGCTCCTTCCCGCTGTGCTCGCGACGTGCCCCGCGCTGCGCGTCGCCAGGTCGCGATCTACGTGCCGGCGCACCAAGTCCAAGCTGGAGTTGATCGTTGCTTCCCTTTCGCGAGGCGGTGCGATTGCCGGAGGCCTTGGTCTCCCCTCTGCCCGTACGTGCGACTTTCGCAACTCCCCAGGTCGTCTCACTCACTCACTTGACAAAACAAAACACTTGAGCACGTTTGGGACGTTTATCACGTTTGGAGAGAGAGAGAGAGATTTTCTCTTCCATTTCTCTTCCACGTTTGGTGGCCCTAACTCGACACAAAAACAAAGTGCGTGTTAGAGTTGTTTGATATTGCTGAAACTCTCTCTCTAGCTCGAGGCTTTGATTCTTGTCCTTGTTGGTTTTCAAAAATATCTCTCTTGTTCTCTCTTGTGTCTTGATTCTTACGTCATTCACCCGCCAAAAGCTAAGGAACAACTCTCTCCCTCCCACAAAAGGAAGGCAGGTGTGCACTCGTGCTAGTACTTGTGTGCTCACACCACTGCACTGTGGGGGGTGCTGCCGAGCCATGTATGTGCGTGACGTACTACGGAGCACTTGGAGCACTTGGAGTGCATGCAGTCAGCAACCGCACATCCAGGGCCGGGGGGCTAAGAAGCACACCCAGCGGGCCAGATGATTGGCATCGGGGTACGTGGCAGTGAGCGTGAGTGAGTGAGTCACACACACTCATGCAGAATTCGTTTCCTCGGTGAGCCGGTGTGTGTGCCAGTCGCAGTCCGCGCCAGTCTGCACCCTTGTCGTGCCAGTGTGCTGTGAAAGCGGCGTTAACGAGAATTCTTTCCGGCTTCGAAAATTCTTTCCCTCTTAACGGAGTCGCTTAGGCGGCTCCGGTGGTGAGCCGGTAAAGAAAGAAAGAAAACAGACAACCCGTGGAGGGATGGGGCCGGTGTGTGTGCCAGTCCCACCAAGAATTCTTTCCCACCCGAGAAGGCGCTTGGCACCTTGGCCTCTCTGCCGTCGGGGGCTTGTGTGAGGTCTAGTGTGAGGTGCAGGGCCGTCGGTGCTGTGCCCCGCGCGCGACCATGGACGACCTCGTGGTGGAGCCGGCCACCGACCGTTTCGGCTTCCTGGTCCCGGCTGGCACGCCGCTGCCGGCGGCAGAGCAGCGCGAGGCGCTCGTGCGAGAGAACCGGAGGCTCGTCAAATGGGCGGCGATGCGTGGCAGGCGCCGCGAGCCCTCGACCCGGCCCTCGCACGCCCTCGCCTCACCTGCGCGCGCCTCAGAGCTGCGCACCGCGCGACCGCGCCGCCGCCGCCGCCACCGCCGCCGCCGCCGCAGCGCACCGCGCCACCGCTATACTGCTGTCACTCGCGCACCCGCCAGCCAGCCGGCCGGCGCCTCTACCCACACACGCCCACGTCCGACTGCAGTGACGAGTACGCAGCGCTGAGCCCGGAGCGGCGCGGCTCGCTGAGCGCGGCGCGGGCGGCGCAGCTCGAGCGGCGCGTGTACAAGGGCGTGCCGGACGCGGTCCGAGGCCTCGTGTGGCAGGAAGCCCACGCAAGCCTCTCCGCACCTCCGCCGCACGCACGCGCACACACGCGCGCACAAAAACGCACACGACACACACGCACGCGCCACACACACACGACACACACACACACACACACACACACACACACACACACGAACACACACACGCACGCACGCACGCACGCACGCATGCACGCACGCACGCACGCACGCACGCACGCACGCACGCACGCACACACACACACACACACACACACACACACACACACACACACACACACACACACACACACACACACACACACACACACACACACACACACACACACACACACCTCAGCTCCCTCAATCGACGCCGCCTCCGTGCCCGCTGCCCGCCAGGCGCTGGGCGGGTCGCAAGGCTGGGAGGGGCACCGGTACCACGAGCTGCGCACGCAGGCCCTCTCCGACAGCAGCGGGCTCGACCCAGCGGCGCGCCGATGAGCACACCGCACCGCGGGGAGGGACACACCGCTTGGCGCGATGGACAGCACAGCACCGTGCCGCGGGGAGGGAAGGCACCCGCAGCGTGCCGCCGCGCCTCTCTCCACCGCTCCGCCCGTGCCCGTCCTCGCGCGCCGGGGGGGCGCGACGCGGTCGAAGCTTCGAGCCGAGAGGAGCCGAGAGGAGCCGAGATCGCCCGAGATTAGGTGGTCGACCAGATCGAGCTCGACCTCCACCGCACCTTTCCGACAAATGTGCTCTGGCTGCCGCCCCGCCCGCCGGCGCCCGTGGACCGCGTCGTGGCGAGCCTCGAGGCGATGGTGGAGGCCAGCGGCGGCGGAGGCGAGGGCGGCGGAGGCGGCGAGAGCGGAGGCGGCGAGAGCGGAGGCGGCGGCGAGAGCGGAGGCGGCGGCGAGAGCGGGAGCGGTTCCGGCGCGGCGGCGGCGGGCGGTCTCGCCACGGGCGACGCGTCTGCGGCGGTGGCGGCGGAGGGCGGGGCGTTGAGCGGGGCGGCGGACGTGGGTGCCGCGGGGGCGGCGGTCGAGGGGGAGGGGGAGGGGGAGGAGGACGAGGCGGAGGAGGAGAGCGAGCTGCTCGAGGAGCTGTCGGCGAGGAGCGACGCGTCGGGCGCGTCGGCCGTCTCCACCGCCACCTCCTCCGCCGTCTCGTCTGCCCCGAGCGGCGCTCTGTCTGACTTGTCGCTCGACCGGTACCCGGCGGGCACTCCTCCCGGCGCCTCGCTGCTGCGAGTGCTGCTGCTCATGTCCGGGACACGTCCTTGACATGTCTCGGACATGTCCCACAGGCGTCGAGCGGCTGCGAGTGCTGCTGCGCATGTACGCAGTCCTCGACCCGGAGGCGGCCTACTGCCAGTCGATGAACTTCGTCTGCGGCACGCTGCTCATGTACGCGCCTCCCGAGGTCGCCTTCCGTGTCTTTGCGCACCTGATGGGCCCGCTCGGTTTCCGGCGTATGTACTTGCCCGGCCTGCCGCTGCTCATGGACTGCCTCGACGAACTCGGCGAGCAGCGGGAGAGCCGAGACCGTCCGAGATCGTCACAGATCGTCCGAGATCGTCCGAGATGACCCTGCGAGCAGCGGGCGGAGGCCGCCGTCCCAGCGCCGCGCGGGGCGTCCGCTCACGGCATCTGTTCACGCGGGGCAGGCGAGCAGTTGGCAAGGCAGCTCCCAAGGCTGGACCGCCACCTGCAGACGTTCGGGGTGGGGCCGTCCCTCTTCGCAACGCAGTGGTCCGCACACACCGCCACGCAACTCTCTCTCTCTCTCTCTCTCTCTCTCTCTCTCTCTCTCTCTCTCTCTCTCTCTCTCTCTCTCTCTCTCTCTCTCTCTCTCTCTCTCTCTCTCTCTCTCTCTCTCTCTCTCTCTCTCTCTCTCTCTCTCTCTCTCTCTCTCTCTCTCTCTCTCTCTCCAACCCTCTCTCTCCCGGCCCCGCGGCAGCCGCGCGCCGCCGTGACCGCCTCCGCGCCCCGCGGCTCAGGTTCATGACCTTCGGCCTCGACCAGTTCCCCTTCGGCATGGCCCTCCGGCTGCTCGACCTGCTCTTCTACGAGCGGACAGTGATGCCCCTCTTCCGCCTCGCGCTCGCGCTGCTCAAAAAGCGCCAGCGCGCCCTCCTCGCGATCCGAGACTCGACCGAGATGATGACGGCGCTGCGCAGGCTGCCACTCTCCATCAGCGACGACAAAATCGAGGCCTTCTTCTCGCGCGACGTGGCGGCGCAGAAGCCAAAGCTCAGCCGGCCCCACATCCTCTCGCCTCCGGCGGTCGCCGGCAACGGCGGCGCGGACCCCTTTCCCGCACAGGCCTGATGCCCCGGGAGTGGGCTAGGCCGAGGGTTTGGCAGAGCGGACAGGGCGAGGGGGCGCGTCCCGCTGCGGCGAGCTGGCGAGAGGAGCGCGGGCCGGCGCGGCCGAGATGCCACGGCGAACCTGCGGCCACGTCTCTGCGCGGAGCTTTGAAAGAGGTAGTGGTCTTGAGACCTGAGACGGCGCGGACGCAAAACCGAAACGCAAGACAGAAGGTAGCCGGAAGACGATTTTTCTTGATCTTGGGGTTGGCCTTGCCCTTGGGCACAGTACGTGCTTTACGACGGACATACACCATCGTACAACAGTCAACACCTTGGCGGGGGGCGGGGGGGTGGGGGGGGGCGGCAGCTGGCGATACTGACGTACGGGCATTGAAGTTTGAACCGCAACCCCCCGCAACCCCCCGCAAAGCTGATCTGACAAGCTTCCATACAGCCGATTGCCGTAACGGAACATACACAGCATAGTCGGCACTGTTACACATGTTGTACATGTTACATGTACAACATGACATGTACAGCCCGCGGTGTTTTTCAACACCACACTCAAGACCAGGCAGAGAATGAACGCGTCAGAGCGACGCAGCCAGGCGAGTCAGGCCAGCTGCTATTCTCGGCAAGGGCACATGCATCGGCGAGCCATATTGACCGTCGACCGGCACAAGCCAGTGCATCAGCGAGAGGTCCTGCGACTGGGTCCAGTACATCGCATACCCAAGTGAAAGCATGCCCACGGGGTAGAGCTCATGCGTTGGCTACCATGCTCGTCGCTGCTGCCACCCTCAACGTGCGATTGCACCGCGTGCGACCACAGCGCGGGCAAGAAGAGCGCCTCTCCCGCACGCAGCCGGGCGATGAGTGCGTGCTCGCGGAGCGCGGAGCGCAGCGCCGCATCCGGCGCCGCCGCCGCAGCCTCGTCGTCGTCGTCGTCGTCGTCGTCGTCTGAGGCGAAGACGTCGACCGTGGCGTGGTTCTCAATCGGCGCGTCTCCCGTGGCGTACGTGCCTGAGAAGACGCCGTCGTCAAAGGCGTAGCGCCGCTCAGCATACGGCGCAAACAGGCCGAAGCCCTCGCGGCTTGCACGGAGCTCTGTGCCGGCACACAGGAAGAGCCGTGCTGCAAGAAGAGCTCGATGGGGAGCGAGAACCGTCAGAGGTGCTCACCCAGGTAGGTTTGTGATTCGGAAGTCCACCCTGATGCGGTCAGTTCCCCCCCCAGGTTTGACCGCGCAGCTCGCAAGACTCGTCGAGCACTCCCAGCCTCTCTGCGCCTCTCATGCTGCCGCGGCGCCTGCGGGAAGTTCAGTCTTTCCGGAAGATATCGTCGAGTTTTGAAAGCTGCGCGGTCAAACCTGGGGGGAAATAAGAGCGTCCATCGCCGCAACGCTCAACGCCACGGCGCTTCAGTGCTCACACAAATTACTCCCGCAGAGTACATGCGGCAACTATGGGCCGTTCCGGTTCTGGTCGGGCGAAGCAATATCCTACCGCGATGCGCTCGTCAAGGAGGGCAAGCGCGCGTACGCAGGCTGCACCGAAGCCAAGGGCGGTGGTGCGGAGGCGCGTAAGGGGTGCAACGCTCTGCGTACGTGCATGGGCAAGTGCCCGTGGCTCTATGACTCGATAATGATCTTCACTCGCGCCGCAGTCGACGGGAGCAACTTGGCCGCTGCTCCACCTCAGCCCACGGCGCATGAGGTGCAGGAGAGGTTGCGCGCCGGGTTCGACATGGAGCGGCGGCGCCTCGACGAGCTGCTAGAGGGCGTCGCCGCCCTGAAGCAGCGGCTGCTGACGCAGGCGGCGGCGCGGGCCAGGCGGAACCGGGCGGTTGGCGTAGCCGAGCAGCAACGGCTAGAGAGGATCGAGCTGCCTAGCCCCCTCGCGGAGACTTTGTAAGCTGATACCTGTCCTTCCTCGCGAATGAAGATTCGTCGAGAAGGGGGTACGTTCAACTACGACGGGGTCGGGTAGTACAAGTGATCTGTGATCTGTGAGGGTCGGCCCTCGGCCCGCGGGCAGATTTTGTACCGAGGCGGCACCCCAGGGCGGTGCCCGCAGGTCGTCGAACCTTTCTAAGACAGCATTGTCGAAACAATCATCAATTTGACAAATTGTCCCTGGGCGCGAGAGGGTGGTGGAGAGGCGGTCTGTGGCGGCGCGCAAACCGTAACCCACTGGGTGTGCAAGTCCGAAGTCGCCTGCAGAGCAACTGTACGGCAGCGCGTTTTAACTTTTAAAACCGCGCCGTATAAAAGCTTGTTCGAACTATGTATTGCGCAACTGTACTCTACGGCAGCGTTATAACCGCGCCATATAAGCTAAAAAAATTGTTCCAGTCTTAGCAAGCAAAAAGGAGCACACACCACTCAGCAAGTCCGCACCAGCGACTGCCACTCGCCTAACCATGCCTCGTCACAAGTGCCCTCCCAATCGCGCCCAGGCACACACGCTCCGCCTGTTCTCACCCAAACACTCTGTCACACCCTTGCCTCCCTGCCAGAGCGAGCTAGATTCTCCCCGCCTCCCTCCCGCCTCTGCCGCGCGCCTTCTATGGACGTCCAGTGCAGCACCTAGGGGGAGAGAGGGGGTTTGCCCTGGTAGCGAGGTGGCGAGGTCGCGCACTGCAAACCCAGTGTGAGGAGTGGGGGAGCTGGGACAGGGCATGTACGCCTCTGATCTGTCATGGTCTAGTGGCCGATAGGATCCTCCCTTAGGCAACGATGGCGGGTCGGGAGAGGCCCGACTTCATAGCCCGCCACTTACTGCCAGCCTCTCTGACTGCCCAGGGTCTCACCACGATGCCGCCCGAGTAGGGGGGTAAGGTGTGTAGAGTGCGGCTCTGTACTGAACCTCTCTCTGTGTGGATCCCACCTGAGCCCACTCGCGGTGCGAAGGCTCCTAATGCGGCAACTGAGCCCGCAAGGGTAGGGCACTCAGGGAGAGGTTATGTTGGATAATATGTTGTGTTGTGGCGTACTGCTGTGCAGCTGGCGCAGCGAGCCCTGCCCCGGCTCGTCGTCGGGTGGTGCCTGTAACAGCTGAGGCAGGGAGACTGCCTGTGAGTAGCGCAGCTGCGCGGTCGCCCGAGGATTGGGATGACTGGGTGGAGAGACTGGTACGACCGTACCTGGGTATGGCGAAGGCTGGTGGCTAGGGTTAGCTGGGCGCGCACGGCGAGTCCAGTCACATTGCCGCCCCGCAACAGCGATATGAGTGGTCTCTCAGTGCGCGCTCTGCGTCCCTAGAACGTAGCGTGGCGTTGGTGCTGAAGCAGTAAAATGGTACTATATGAGGCGGTGAAGCGCATTCGTCGTCAATTTTGCAAGCCCGGGCTTGCAAAGCCGTTCGAAGCGCCTGATTCGAGCGAGTGGAGGCAGGTTCGAGACCTGGTGGGGGGGTTTGGGGGGGTCGCCCGTCGCCCATCGGACCATCAAGGGATCCATCAAATCCGTCGAATCTGTCGACATCTGTCGACAGCTGGCGCGGCTGGTGCCGGCCGCTGCGCCAGAATTTTTTTGTGCTGAGCACAGGGTTGGTTGTGCCGGGCCGCCCCCGCGAGAGAAACTCGTCAGTAAAACTCTCGGGCGGCCCGGCTGTCTGAGGCTGGCACGCAGTGGCAAAAGCCCGCGGCTCGTCGCCAAGGAGTTACGAAGTTTTTTTCCCATATAAGCTTGTTCGAACTATGTTCGAGCCGGGGCCCGGTCGGCCCCAGCGCCCGGCGGCCCGGGCATCTCTGTCAAGCCACGTATTTGGTCAAATGCGCATGCGGCATGGACGTACACAACCGTATAGCCGACCGCGCGCGCGCCGTCCTGGCGCACGCGCGCGCGCGCGCGCGCGCGTGTGTGTGTGTGTGTGATTGTGTGTCTCGTGTGAGTGTGTGTCTCACTCTCAATCACTCACTCACTCACACTTGCGCACGCGCTCCTCTTCGTGCACAGCCAGCCGCTCCGCTGCAAGACAGCTCGCGTATTAGGAGTACAGCTCGTGCCATGCTCGCGCTCTCTGATGACCACGAGCCAGCGTCGTGCTCCGTGGCCCCACAGCGCACAAGCCACGCTGCTCACGTCACCTGGCTGGAGCGTCGAGTGCGGCTCCGCTTTGGCGCGGGCTCGGCGCTTCCGCTTGCCTCGCCGCGCTCGCCCGTCGCCGCCACGACCATCGCCGCGATCTGCAAGTCCCTCTCCTCGTACTCCTCGATGCGCCGCTTGAGCGCGCGGTTGGGGAAGAGGGTCCGCTCGAGCGGCTGCCGCGTCAAGGGGCTGAGGCCGTCGCCGCGGAGCACGCGTTCGATGGCGGCGCGCTCGTACGAGTTGCCGTCCGAGGCCACCACCGGGTCTGCGCGCGGCGTGAGGCAGGAAGATAGGCATGGCCAAGACGGGACGGACGGGGAGGAGAGCGAGGGGGCGCGCACCGCGCATCTGCTCGAGCGTCAGCGGGCAGTTGAACTCCTCGGGCGGCGGCAGCGCGCCCAGCCCAAACGACTCGCGCCGCGCGCGCCGCTCCGCCTCGCCGTTGATCTCCGCGACCCGGCCGCGCGCCCGCTCGAGCGCGGCGGCCGCCACCGCCACGGCCGCGGCCTGCTCGATGGCGCGCTCGAGCGCCGCCACGTCGGTGCCCGCCTCCGCCGCCTCCAGCCGGGCGGTGGCCGCGTTGACGAGTGCAGCGTGCAAGTCTTCGAAGGCGGCGGTGTCGGCGTGGGCGCTGGCGACGGCCGACAGCACCGCGTCGAAGTGCTCCATTTCTTTCAACGTGTCCGCCGCAGTCTCCGCCACGCCCGAAGCCGCCCCACCCGCCAGCAGCGCCACGAGCGACGGGATGCCGCCCGCCTCGCGAATGGCGTCTCTGTTGACGTCGCAATCGATTGCCAGGTTCGCCAGCGCACCCACCGCGTTCTCCGCCGCCCCTGACTCTGTCCCGACCGCCAGCAGCGCCACGAGCTGCGGGATTGCACCCGCCTCGCGAATGGCGTCGCAGGTGGCCGTGTTCCCGGATGCCATGTTGCACAGCACACCCGCCGCGTTCTCCGCCGTCTTGGACTCCGCCCCGCCCGCCAGCATCGCCACGAGCGGCGGGATGGCTCCCGCCTCACGGATAGCAGCGTGAGCTCCATCATTTCTCGACAGGCCCAACAGCGCGCCCGCTGCGTTCTCCGCCGTCTTGGACTCCACCCCGCCCGCTAGCAGCGCCACGAGCTGCGGGATGGCTCCCGCCTCGCGGATGGCGTCGCTGTTGACGTCGCAACCGATCACCATGTTCCACAGCGCGGCCGCCGCGTTCTCCGCCGCGCCTGACTCCACCCCGCCCGCCAGCAGCGCCACGAGCGGCGGGATGCCGCCCGCCTCGCGGATCGCTTCTTTGTTGGCCGACGTGGCCGCCACATTAAACAGCGCGCCCGCCGCATCCTCCGCGGCCACTGACTCCGCCCCGCCCGCAAGCAGCGCCACGAGCGGTGGGATGCCACCCGCCTCACGGATGATGTTGTGACTGTTTTCGGCTACTCCAGCTGGTTCAGAGAGGTAAGAGAGGGCGCTCGCCGCCGCCGCCGCCGTGGCCGGCGCTGCCAACGGGGATATCAGACTAGCGATGGCCTGCGGCCACGCCTCGCTGCTCGCGTACGTCTCGGCGAGGGCGCCCAGCTCCTCCACCGTCTGATTGAGCCGGCTGAGCGCGGCGGCCACTGGATCCGCCATGTACGTAAGAACACCACGAGCGCCTCCGCCGCCCAACCCAACCTCTCCGACGATGACGCGCGAATCCCCGCGATTTCTTCTTGTGTCGGACGCTACTGGCACATAGAAAAGAGTGTAACCAAAGAATTAAACGCGTGCGCACCTTCCGCTCCTCACCTCACTTGCCAACAACATACCTAAAACCTCACTGGCCGCAACATGCGAGGGGCCGAGCTGTAAGGGTTTGGACCATCCACGTGTTATTCAAAGCAAGAAGACGCACACACTGCGGAAATTCGCACTCACCCCCCACTGTCGCCAGACTGTGAGAGGCTATAGGGGAGGAGGGTGGGAGACCATAGCTCCCGCGAGCCGCGTTCCCGTCGGGCTCCATGTCGCCGAGGAGGGTTTTTGGACAGTCCTCCGCGGTGACTTGGGGCGATTGGAGCAGCAAATGGAGCTCGCAATCAAAGAAGAAAACAGTACCGCGCCCGCCCATCGCCACGTGTACGGCGCCCCCCTCGGATATCCCCACAGTCCCTCCACGGCTTTGTTGTGCTGCTTTGAAGCTGGACCTGCCATGAAGTTCGTGTCCGTGCTCGGCGGCGCCGAGCCCGCCTCCTTCTCTGAGGCGGTGCTCAATGGCTGGGCGCCCGACGGCGTCGCCAGCGGCACGCGCGGGGACTCATCCACGCGCTCACTCCGGAACGCCGACTCGTGGCACGATAGGCGGCATGTACTGGCCGGCGGCTGTCGAACCGGTCTCGCCGAGGACACTCTCTGCGTGGGAATCGCTGTCCTACCCGCGGCTGTGTGAGGAGGTGCTCAAGCGCTTCATCGCTGCCGACGACCCCGACGTCACTCCGCTCGACCTGGCCGGCATTGTCTCGGCCGCGTTTTCCTCGTTTGGCGACGCGGAGGTGGTCTCGCTCCGGCCGCTCTCGGACGAGCTGCACGTGGCCGAACTGTGGCACGGCCCGACGCTCGCCTTCAAGGACCTCGGCATGTCCGTCCTCGGGCGCACGCTCAGCCACCTGCTGCGGCGGCGGCGCCAGCGGCTCACGCTGCTGGTGGGCACCTCCGGCGACACCGGCTCGTCGGCGATGGAGGCGGTGCGCGGCCTCGAGGGGATCGAGATCCTCGTGCTCTACCCGCTGCAGGGGTGCCCGTCCACCTCGCCCGCGCTGCAATCTATGCAATCTCATGCAATCTCGCGCAATCTCGCGCAATCTCGTGTAGGTGCTCGTCCATCTCGCCCGTGCAGGAGCTGCAGATGACGTCTGTCGCCCGGGCAGCGAGCAACGTGCACCTGATCGGCGTGGAGGGGAGCAGCGACGACCTCGACGTGCCGCTCGAGCGCGCCTTTCCCTTCGCCACGGCCTGGTGAGTTGTTTGTCACGAGGTGGTGAGGAGTTGAGTGTTCGTTAGGCGCGCCTTTCGCGACGCCGCGTTCAAGCGGGCCCACAGGCTCGGCTCGGTCAACTCGGTCAACGTCGTGCGGCTTCTCGTGCAGGTCGTGCAATCTCGGACAATCTCGGACAATCTCGGGCGCATCTCGGTCAATCTCGGGCGCATCTCGGGCGCATCTCGGCGCATCTCGGGTAAGCGCATCATGGGCGCGTCTCGGGCGCATCTCGGGCGCATCTCGGGCGCATCTCGGGCGCATCTCGGGCGCATCTCGGGCGCATCTCGGGCGCATCTCGTGCAGGTGGTGCACTACTTCTACGCCTACCTCCGCCTGCCGGAGGGCTCGATACCACACCACCCACGGGACCGAACCCACCCTGGATTCGAGACTCTGGAGGTATGGGAGTAGGCGACCTCCGCCCGCCGGAGGGCTCGAGCGAGCGCCGCGCGCGCGTCGCCGTGCCGTGCGGCGCAGGTGGGCTCGTTGCCGCGGGTCGGGGTGATCTCGGGTGATCTCGGGGTGATCTCGTGTGATCTCGGGGTGATCTCGTGTGATTTCGGCTGTGATCTCGGCTGTGATCTCGGCTGTGATCTCGGCAGGTGGACACCTTGCCGCGGGCCTTCTCGCGCAGCAGATGGGGCTTCCAATCACGCTGCTCGCCGCCACGAACGCAAACGACGCGCTGCACCGGCTCCTCGCCACGGGCGAGCTGCGGGCGCACGGCACAGTCTCACAGACCGCGTGGGGGGGGGAGAACATCCAGGCGCGAGATCACCCGAGATCACCCGAGATCACCCGAGATCACCCGAGAGTGCGCAGTCCGCCCTCGAGGGACATCCAGGCGCCGCACAACGTATGGCGCCACGTTCTCGCCACACCTCGCCATATCTCTAGGTGCCGTACGAGACCGTCCGAGATTGTCCGAGATTAGGTGCCGTACAACGTGTGGCGCCTGCTGTTTGTGGCGAGCGGCGGCGACGCCGCGGCGGTCCGCGGCTGGCAGGCGCACACACCGCCGTCCGTTGAGCTCTCACTCAAAAGCACAACCCCGCGCCCAGATCACGCGCACGGACAGTCGAAGAACGGACAGGCATGCAGAGGTCGACTAGTCAGACAGGCAACGCCGAGTCCCTCGGAAGGCCAGCGCGATGCCCGCCTCTCACTCTCTGTAAAGTAGACAACGGGGGCGGGGGCACGCACACTGCAGCACACTCAGGGCGAGGGACTCCAGCACAACTCCACGCCGCCAGTCTAGCACGCACGCACGCACGCACGCAAGACGGCCGAAAGACTGTTCAATCTCTGCCAGATCAACGTGTGCCGTTGGGAAGGCCACTGAGACCACATGATGCCCGTGGTGCCGATCCAAGTCCACTCTCGCCACATCTCGCCACATCTCTCCACATCTCGCCACATCTCTCCACATCTCGCCACATCTCGCCACATCTCGCCACATCTCGCCACATCTCGCCACATCTCGCCACATCTCGCCACATCTCGCCACATCTCGCCACATCTCTCCACATCTCGCCACATCTCGCCACATCTCGCCACATCTCTCCACATCTCGCCACATCTCTCCACATCTCTCCACATCTCGCCACATCTCGCCACATCTCGCCACATCTCGCCACATCTCGCCACGTCTCCAGGTCAGCACCCACGCGAGGGCTAAGCCCACTCTCAGTACACCGGCATGTCGCACCGCGCGCTGGCGCGGCCAGGGCATGTCCACGACACGTCCATGCCGCGTCCCGTCTCAGGCGGATTTTGGTGCGGGCGGGCTGACGCTGCCGCCGCGCGTGCGCGAGTGGCTGCGCGTGCGGGTCGCCAGCGCCGCCGTCGACGACGCGCTCACGCTGCGCACGATGCTCGAGACGCACCAGCGCTGCGGCTACCTCCTCGACCCACACACCGCTGTCGGTGTCGCTGCCGCGCAGATCGCCGCCGGCGTGGGCGCCGCCCTCTCCTCTCCCCCCTCTCGCTCCTCTCCCCCCTCCCCCCTCCCCCCTCCCCCCTCTCCCCTCCCCCCTCTCCCCTCCCCCCTCTCCCCTCTCCCCTCTCCCCTCTCCCCTCTCCTCCTTCCTCCCCGCCGGCCCCTACGGAACAGCCTCAACGCCCCCCGCCGTGCAGAGGAGGAGAGCTGCGCCGCCCGCGTGCCGACACTATGCCTCGGCTGCGCGCACCCGATCAAGTTCTTGCCGACCGTCGCCGCTGCCTTTGGCTGCAGCGCGTCGCGCGCCCTCGCGTTGGCGAGCGGCCCGGCGGGCCACCGCTGCGTCGAGGCTAGTAGTAGTATTGAGAGTGCGAGGACTGCACGCGCGCCGCCTGCCGCAGCGCACACGTGACGCACGCGCACCGAAGCACGTGCGCAGGCGGTCGGGCAGCTGGCGCAGCAGGCAAAGCAGGGCTACCCGGCGGCTGGGTGGGTGCCCCCGGGCTGTTGCGCGGTGTTGCGCAAAGGGGAGGCGTGGCAGGCGGAGTGGACCGCCGCCGTGCGGGCAAAGGTGGAGGAGCTGTCGGCGGCGGCGGCAGCGCTGAGGAGCCGGCTGTAGTTGTAGACCGCACCTTCGAATGATTCGGGTCTATAATATTGCGATCCACAAAATCAAACTAGCAAAACAAGCGACTGGCGGGCGTTGAGGGAGGAAGAATGTGAATGAAGCTCAGTGAAAAACGCACTTGGAGCACACGCAACGCATAAAAAGTTTCTGCTTTCTCCACTTCTTTCTCCGCGCCGGGGCGAGCCCAGAACCTCCATGCCGCGGTAGCCGGGCGCGTCGGAAGAAACGGCGCCCCGTGGTGAAGGGGTGGATCAAGTCAGGATCGAAGACGGCGGAGCTTGGAAGTGGCGGCACATTTACGGTACAACCTTGGCGAGAAGAGCGCGGAGAAGCTGCAGAAGCGTTGGCCGACCTGTGGCGAGCTTGCAGAGGCGCAGCCAGAGGCTCTACGCGACCTCCACGAGGAGGAGTTGCGCGGCAAGGTGAGCGTGAAGAACCTGCTCGGGCTTCGTGACGCGCTTCGCACGCGCTTTAGCCTGGCCGGGTGTGGCGAGGACGAGGGCGCGGCAGCGGCCGAAGGGGAGGGCGGAGAGGGGGAGGGGGAGGGGGAGGGGGAGGGGGAGGGGGAGGAGGAGGGGGAGGGGGAGGAGGAGGGGGAGGAGGAGGAGGAGGAGGGGGAGGAGGAGGAGGAGGGGGAGGAGGAGGAGGGGGAGGAGGAGGAGGAGGAGGGGGAGGGGGAGGAGGAGGAGGAGGAGGAGGAGCGGAGGAGGAGGAGGAGGAGTGTGCGGAGTCAGAGCGGAGTCAGAGCGGGAGGAGGTGCACGCGCGACGCGCCTGAGTCCGAGATCGACTTCTCCTGGCTGGAGCGCTGCCGCCTCACAGCCTCAAGCCGCTCTGCGATCAGAAGGGCCTGAATGTGGGGTGGGGCAACTCGGAGGCGCTGGCGAAGCGGCTGCGCGCCAGCGGCGGCCTGAGCGGGGGGCAGCTCAAGGGGCTGTGCGATGCTCCAGAGGTCGGAGTCCCATCATACGGCACCAAGGCGGAGATCGCGCGGCGCATCGGCGCCAAGCTGGCAACTGACCGCCTGCATAGCTCGCGGCCTTAGTATCAAGCATTCAGTGACGACCTGATCGTACGGCCAGTAGGAAGGTGTCCTTCCAGCGCGTGCACGCTTCTGACGCAATGCGCGTCACAAACTGCCTCGGATTGGCTGCTGGCACTCTCGAGGCTATGCCTACACAGCATCGCGCGCATGGGCAGTCAAGAGGGACCATGCACCTTCTCAGGACAGCGCCGGTGCCTCTCTCTTGGACCGGCAAACGTGGTGGTCTCGTGTCACCGATGTGGGACCAGTGCGGCATCGCGCCATCGACAGCTCTGGACTGCGCCTCACCACTGACCGGGAAGGCCGCCAAGTGGGTCAGCACCGGTCGCACATTGTGGCAGCAGTCAGCAGCGCATGTCTGATAGCTAGAGCAGCAGCGTCAGGGTCGCAGGGTCGGATCGTGTCAAGCCTCTCGCCCGGCCGGCCGTGTGCAGACGTCGGCCTGTCTGCTGTCTGGAGTGATCTGTCGGCGGTCGATAAGCTGATGAACCTCGGCGTCCTGGTGCAGCGCGACCGGGAGGCGCCCCCTGTCTCTGTCTCCGACGCGCCTATGAATCTCGAGGCGGAGGAGGGGATCGACGACCCGCCCTCCCCCGGCTCGGTGACGGCCAACTCCCTCATTGAGGAGCTCGCTGCGGCGTGCGGCGACGTGCTGGAGAACTCGGGGTGGACGGCGGACAGGTGCAGGTCGAGATCAAGCTCACCTCGCCCGGGCGCGCCCGCTCACCCCGGTCGGCTCGCTGCCGGACACGCCTATTTCCAACTTTATCTCGCGCGTCGTCCGCACGCCGCCATGAATGTGTACGAGGGGCTGCTTTTGCTGCTGTACATGCTGGCCTGCCTTTATTTATTCGTAGAAGTAGCGAACCGAATCGTGTGTGTATGGGCGCTCCCCGCCTGGAAGAAATTCCGGGCCGTCGGCGGCTCTCAAGCTTCTCCACCGTTTTCTCCAGAGCCTCGATGCGCTTGCTGGCCTCGGTTAGCTCGCCAATGGTCCATATTTTGAGTTTGATAAACCCTTCCTCGAGCATTTCTCGATGCGCTGGCAGACCGCTGGTATGGGGTAGACAACGCCCTCCTCTGGCGGCTCGAGTGTCGGTAGTTCCTTAGCTGTAGCGACCGACAGCGACGCTACGTTGTTGGCGATCTTGAAGTTGTAGCGCAGCTGCGCCGCCAGCGCGTCGACCTTGGTCCTTGCTGTTGTTGATCGTCAGCCGCTTCTCGACCTCGAGCGCCCGCACTGTGCGGAGTCCCATTTGGGGCGGCCATTCGCGGTCCAGTGTGGGGTTCTTGCTCACCGCGAATTCTTTTTCCTTCGCGGCAACGCGATGGCGGCAAGGCCTCTTTGCGCGCCCGCCCTCGCCACGCCGAAGACCAACCGACGTCGGACCGCGGTGAGACCGCGCCGCCCCCCGCGCCCGCCCGCGCCCGCAGCGTGAACACATACGCGCGTCCCTCGCCGCACGGAAACATACGCGCCAGCCGCGCAGCAGCCTCACATGCAGCGCCGACCGCATGCTCGCGCCCTGGGCCGCCGACGACCCGGTCGGGCGGGCTGCGCGGCCGCCGCACATCACCAGGCAGGCGCGCGACCACCCGCAGCACGCCGCAGCCCACCGCGCAGCCCTGCCAGCCAAGCCTGCGCCTCCCAGCTGCACAAACAGGGCGCACAACAGAGCACAGCGCACAGCACACACCGGCGGCGCGCGCGCAGCACACACAGACGCGCGCGCGACCGCAGCACGCACACGTACACAGCACGCGCGCGTCGCACGCCAGCGCAGCGCCGCACACAGAGCACACTTGCCCACATCAGCAGCAGCCAGCCTGCCACAATCCTCATCTCACACACGCGCGCACACACTCCCCCCTACCGGCGCACGCATTGGGCGTCGCCGAGAGCTCCCAAAGCTGACTTGTGTGGCTGCTTGCGCTGCCCTCGCTCGACGCGGCAGCACAGCGAGGGTCCAGCGCCGCCATCAAGGCTCGTGTCCGTGCGATGCCTTCCTGGAGAGCCAGCCGCGCCTGCTGGGCCCCCCCGTCGTCTGAAAATCGCGAGCGGTGCGCCGGCCCGGCTCGAGGGAGGCCCCACGAGCGGGACTCTCGCGCCCGAAGACGCCGCCCCTGGCGAGGCCTGCCAAGCCGCTGCGGAGCATTGACC